AGTATTCGGAAAATGTTATGATCATCATTCCTTTGGTCAGCATTTTAGTGGCTTAAGAAAATTTAAATAAAGAGAATTTATAAAGAATTAATTGAGATTGACTAACTTAATGAGATCATCAGGGATGAGATCATTTTAATGGCACTAAGAAGGAAATACAGAAAGTCAGATTCAGATACAGATATACAGATTCAATCCTGTAATTCAATTGCAAAGTGAAGGAGTATATAAACATGGACTTACCGAAGTTTAGTTTAGTTTCCTTTATTGTTCATTAATTTCAGTTGTTAAATTTAAGCAAGTAAATGTACTAAAAGATATACCAAGTCCATTTAATCTTAAATATAGTAGTTTTCCACCCCAACATATTCTCATTTCCTGAATTTACATAACGCCACATCAAAGCCATCACTCATTTGACACGTTCCTTATTTTCGCCCATGTCCAACAATGAATAATGGACGAGGGACACCTATATAGTATATGAGTGAAAATAACTGCAAAGATTATTTTCATAATTTGCCAATTTATGATTTTAAGACAAAGCTCATAAATTGACCAGGAACACAGCTGTGTCACAGGCAATTAAAAGCAAATGGTGTTCCCTATATCCTTATGGATTTCCTTAGCTTCCTGGGATATTTCTGGACCAGTTCCGTTGGCCATAATTCACTTGGACTTAACACGTGCGTGTGAAATTAATGGGAATGGGGATGAGGCTGTGGGCCTGGAATGCATATTATTTGGACTCGCCGCAATTGGCAGCTGTTCAATAACACAGTTCCCGACCTAAGTCAATGGGGAAACTCTTCCGAAGTCATTCAGGCGGTTAAAAATAATGAGGGTGCTGACATAGAGAGTGCCGGGATATATGTATGTACGTATGTAGATATAGAGGCTCATTCCGCCAAGCGATCGGATCAGACGGCGTGGCGGGATGTGTCTGGGAGGGAAACTTATTGGCAAAACTCCATGATCATAAATTATGTCGGCTTCATTTGTTTACGCATCGGCCGGCAGGTGGCGCTTTAATTACATGGCAGCATCGTTCTGGGAACTAATCGGAATGGGGGAATCCCCGTCAAAATCGCATCGAGTTGCTTGCCAAGATTCCGCATTACGCAATAAAGTTCATTGCCATCCCGCCTTTCTTTCTTTCACATCATTTTTTCTACAATTTGTTCGTTCTTTTTTTTGGAAGAGAGCGTGAGAAAATTCTAGGCAAGATTTTGGCAAGCTACCATCTTGGCAGAGGCCCATTACCCATTCCACTGCTGAGCAGCATTATTGGTGGCACAGTGGCCATGGTCTATAAAAATTCAAGTTAAGAATAGATGTTGGAGAGATAAACAAAGTTTGGGATAATCGAAAATATGCGAAGCGAAATAAAATGTAGTAATAAATCTATCTTTAAATTTGACATTTTTGACGGGTGATAATTGTTAATTTTTGGAATGTATTATATATTTTAACAAGTTGTAATGGGAAACAATAATGGCTAAGAAATGTACACTATAAATTATAACTATAATACCTTATTTCATTATACAACACAAAATTAAAATAAAACAAGAAAGAAAACTAACTTCGAGTAGCCGAAGTTGACAAGCCCCTGCAGTTGCAATCATTAAAAAAGCTTAAAATATTCAAAGTCTTAGAATTATTATTATAGTTATTTTAAATGACAATATTTTTAACAAATAAAAGTTTAAAAAACTTATGAATAAGCCAAAAATGAATTAATTTAATTTGGAAATGACTCTTTACAATGTTACTTAAAAACATTAAATAAATACTAGTTAATAGTTAGTTTTCTTATTTAATTTATTTAAAAACCCTAATACATTACAAACACACAGTAACGTGACTCTAAGCCTGAATTAGTACAAGCTACAAAAATTACATAAGAGCATATTTTGTGCCATAGTTTTGGAACATCGCCAGAGTTAAAGCGCTAAAAAATATTTTCAAATTAAGTTTAAGACCCTCCCTCTAGACTGAAAATAATACATAACTATCTTTTGGCAGCCAAAACTTGTAATCTCTTTTGTTCTCTGACTCTTTGCAGCAACTGAAGGCCCAAAGGATGCCTCGTTGGCCAATTGAGGAGGAGGCCCAGGAGGACGAGCCGATTCTCCGCTGCAACAGCCGATGGCCTGACCAACCAATGGCAATGCACAGCGGCGACGAAGCCCGGCCAAAGAGAGGGAGCTAAACGGGAGTCAAAAGCCTGGCAATGCATTTCTTTTTGGCAACCTGTCAAGCGACCCCTCACACACACGAACCAACACATCGACCGACGAGTCCTGCCTTGCTCACATGCGTATACGGAATATATCAAGTATACGCCTGTTGGCCGGGCAGCCAGTGCCGGTGTGTCTGTGTGTGTGTGAGTGGGCCACAAAAGATGCCAAACAGCGTTGCCAACTGCATTGCCGGGCTGCCAGCGACCCGAAGATGCCGCCCTCCTCCCGCCCAGGAGGCCAACGACGAGTCCTTTGCAAGCAGCGCATTGGCTGCAGGACGACCGGCGACAGGACGACCAATCACCAATCACATCGGGGCTTGTGCGCACTATCCCGGCCGCTTGCAGGACCAGAGGCATGGAATCCAGGACCTCAGCTACAGGACCCTAACCGATTGCCACTTTTAAAATATATGTATATCTTATACTTAGAAGTCTCCTATTTGTTTAGTTTCTCATTTGTAAGTGGTATGCCGAAGACAAAGTCCCCCGAAAACAACATCTCTGCGGGGGTATGACACATAGTCCAACGATAGAGTATTTAGTTTCAAGCAGAAGATATACGAAGACGATTTCAAGAATGCATAAGAGAAAAAAACGAATAAAATTTGTAAAGCTTCAGAGCGGCACAACAAAAATCATTGGTTTTTTTCTCTGGGTGGATATATCTTACATAATTCGGAACGAGAAAGATCGGACGCTTATATCATATTGCTGCCATAAGAACAATTGGATCATTTTTAGATTTATAGAACTTCAATCAGTAAATAAGGAAAATCAGTAATTAACTATGTGCAGTAAGTAACTCTGAACAGTAAGTATCAATAAACATTAAGTAACTAAGAGCAGTAAGTAACTATGATCAGTAATTAACTATGAGCAGCAAGTAACTATGAACAGTGAGTAACTCTGATCAGTAAGTACCTATGACCAGTAAGTATGTACTGGTTACCCACTTTGAAAACTAATAAACAATGACTTGCAAGTTTTGTAATACAACACATTTCAGAGACTTGGCCGGCAGCAGTCACTTCGTTCCGGGGATGTTAGAACCAGTTGAGAATCATATAAACAGATGCGCAAGATTTTTGTTGAACACATTTAAGAGAAAGTTATTTGAATGAAACTATGCAGTTGATCTTCTATATACATTCGACAAGTTTATTAATCAAAGCATGCCAAATCGGTGGACCATATGTATACATATATATAGCTGACATAGGGACAATCGGACAATTTAGAGGACTATGATCAGTAATTAACAATGACCAGTAATTAACTATGAGTAGAAAGTAACTATGAGCAGTGAGTAACTCTGAACAATAAGAATCTATGACCAGCTTGTAACTATGATCAGTAATTAATTATAAGGAGCAAGTAACTATGAGCCGTGAGTAACTCTGAAAAATAGGTATCTATACCATTAAGAAACTATAATCAGTAAGTATCTATGACCAGTAAGTATGTATAATCAGTTAATTACTTTGAACACTAATAAACAATGACTTGCAACTTTTATAACACAACACATTTCTCAGACCTGGCCGGCAGCAGTCACTTCGTTCCGGGGATGTTAGAACCAGTTGGGAATCATATGCACAGATGTACAGGATTTGTTTTGGAACAAATTTAAGCTATTTGAATAAAACTATGGAGTTATTCTTCTATAAAATTTCACAAGTATATAAATCGGTGCATGCCAAATCGGTGGGCTATATATATAATATATATATCTGACATAGGAGCAATCGGACGATTTATAAAACTATGATCAGTAATTAACTATTACCAGTAATTAAGTATGAATAGTAAGTAACTATGAGCATTGAGTAACTCTGAACAATAAGTATCTATGACCAGCAAGTAACTACAATCACTAATTAATTATAAGGAGCAAGTAACTATGAGCCTTGAATAACTCTGAACAATTGGTATCTATACCACTAGTTAACTATAATCAGTAAGTATCTATGGCCAGTAAGTATGTATGATCAGTTAATTACTTTGAACACTAATAAACAATGACTTGCAACTTTTATAACACAACACATTTCTGAGACCTGGCCGGCAGCAGTCACTTCGTTCCGGGGATGTTAGAACCAGTTGAGAATCATATGCACAGATGTACAGGATTTGTTTTGGAACAAATTTAAGAGCAAACTATTCATTTGATCTCCTATATACTTTTACAAGTTTGTAAATCGGAGCACGCCGACTCGGTGGAGTATATTGATATGTATATGTATAGATATATATAGATGCAACAGGAACGATCGGAAAATTTTAAGAAAAAAAATTATAACTTGCTCTTAATAAATTAAACAGGAATATCACTTTTTATAGAAGGTTATACCCAACATATATATATTTTTTTTGCAGTTAATATATATCCGATTCGTTTGCTCTTATGTCCTAGGAATGCGTCTAGATATCTGTGTACAAGGTCCTCGGTTGGGGCCTTACCAAATTGCGGGGTTCTGAAGCCCATATTCTCTAGACGACAACTCTAAACCACTTTCCAAACAGCGAATGTGAAGGGCAGTTTGATGAAAGTCTTAGTAACAACCAGATCTGCGCAAGATCTCAAGAATCGGACTCCGGTGGCCCGCTAGTAATCAAGATCAGAACCTACCACCGGGAGACCCTCTACCTGTAATTGGGAGTGATTAGCTTTGGCGACCCCCTTTGCCAGTGGATTGGATATGTTCCCAATTACGGCACCTGGTTATTGGATAACTTCCTGCAGATGGGCATGTGACCGAAAACTAGTAATGGTTTGTTTATTCAGGGATGTTTTTAAAATAAATCTGACCTTATCAAGGCCGACAAGTAAGCAATCAAAGTCGATAGTGCTAAAAGTTCACTTGGAAATTGTCTCTTAAGAAGATCCTGCCACTCGTTACCATTCGTCCTCCGAATGGAATGAAAAATGAGAATGATCGTAGACCGCTTTCCGGGTAGTGTCGCTACGCCACTTTAGGTGCTTGGCAATCAGAAAGCTCTGAATGATAAAGACCGCAATGTTGACGGACAGCAAGTTGTAATTTTTTGGGGTTATCACCATCGAGTAGCGGGACCAAATTAAGCCAGTGGCTGCCAGGGACATGCATTGGTTGAGCGAGATGTTCTGGGCAGGACGACTCAAAGTGTCGCCAAGACCGGCTACCACCAGGCTCTGTAAATAATCATTAGGATAATAGATAAATCTTAACAATGACCATTAATGATGTTAACTAACCCATTTGAAGAGCGGCGCCCAAAAGAATACGGTTCGTGGACCTGTAAAATTGGTTAATTCCTTTATTTACTTAATCAAATATGTACATAGGTCTGCCTACCAGCTGGGGAAGTCCAAAACGGTTGCATCGATTGTGGAACCAAAACATCTACAGAGCTAATGATCACATTGTACAACTTTGATAAAGGTCCAGATCCTTTTGACATTTTTAATTAAAAATAAAAAATTTAAAATAATTTTGGAATGTTTGAGTGACGTGAAATTTTGAAGTAAAAGAAAAGGCTAAGGCGAAATTTTTTGAAACATTTAAAATCTGAAATGAACGACTTTAGAAACAAACAATAAGTCATAATGCCAAATCCAAAGCCCCTTTATTTATTTATTTATTTATTTATATAAAGCTAGCGGTTGGTTGAAAACTAAAGGCTAGCATAGGATATTAAGCATTGGCTGCTGTGGCCTACCGCTCGATTAAATGTATACAGATTTTAGTATTATACAAAGGACTTAAAGGATAGATTTTGTGGGTGAGGTTGGCCCAAAGCCCCTTTATTTTTACTTAATATATTCACTTAGAAATAGTTTTTTTGAAGATCCCTCTGCTATTCACCAATCGTCCCCCCAATGAAAAGAAAATCAGAATGATCGTACACTGCATTCGGGCCATTTTCGCTGCGCCACTTTAGGTGCCTACCAATAAGAAAGCTCTGGATCATAAAAACGGTTAGATTGACGGATAGCATGAAGTAGTTCTTTGGAGTTATCACCATCGAGTAGCGGGTATAAATTAAGCTAGCGGCTGCCAAGGACCCGCACTGGTTCAGCGAGATGTTCTGGGCAGGCCGACTCAAAGTGTCGCCTAGACCGGCCACCACCATGCCCTACAAATAATCATAGTTAAATAATAGTTTAATCACAATGATGACTATTAAGTTGCACTTACCCATTTGAAGAACGGTCCCCAAAAGAATACTGTTTGTGGTCCTGCAAAATAAGTTAATTCCTTTATATACTGAAGCAAATATGGCTACAAACCGGCTTCCGAAGTCCAAAACGGTTGGAGTGATTGTGGAATGAAAGGATCAACAGAGTTAATGATCACATTGTACATCTTCGACAAAGGCCCCGATCCTTTTGACATTTTTTATAAAAACTGTTTAAACATTTATTTTATTATTATGAAAGACGATTAATTTTGAAATGAATTGAAAGGCAAAGGTGAATAAAAGCTTATTATTTCAAATTTAAAATACGGTTTAATCTGGTAACACCGCCTAATGGGCGCAAATTGCCATGCAATGTCTGGCAGCACCAATTTTGGACAGTTAAGTGTGGCCAGTTGCCTCTGTTTTTCGGGTTTATAAAAATAATCATCGGCGGGCACTCTGCACTTTCAGGCAGAGAAAAAAACAATAATAAGCAGTAAAAGTTAACCAATAATAAACAAAATATAATGGAAAAGCTATATAGAAGAGAACGCTCACCCCTCAGTGAAAAAAGGCGGTCGGCTAAGCCTTATGCACTGACCTACAAAAACCTGCAAAAAATGCCCGTGAATCTGCGAAAGAAAGCCGTGCGGGAGGCACGAAATCGAAACGAAAAGATTCTGGGCAAGCGAAAGGAGCGAAAGAGGACAACTCGGGAGCTGTCCAATACTCCACGGCGCCAGCGCAACGACTTTGACCGATCCGAGCACAATGCCATGCTGGCCAGCACATCGGAGGAACTGCGACGGATCCTGGACAGCTGTGAAACGCTCTCGGATATTCCGCACGATATTACGCCCACAGAGCTGATGGGGGAGGTAAGGAAGTATTCCGAAAGGATTATCTTTTATTCATCTACCACAGCAAACTATTGTAATTGTATATTGTTGAAATACAATTATTTATCACTGTGGATGGTCATCCACGTAGCGATGATAAGCACCAAGAGTGTCTCGAAGTCCTTATGCGGACTGACGAGAAGCACCGAGCTCCTTGCGCACAAAGCTGCTTTTTTGATCTAGTAATAGCTTACTAAAATAATTAATACATTCTTGATAGTTCAAATACATTATGTAGATTAGCGCTTTAAAGCTTAGCAACAATGTATTTAATATATTGTATAATGATTAAGTGTGTCGGTCTACTTAATTCTTAGAAAGACCAAAAGTCTGCCTTACAAAAGACCAGCCAGATTGATGTGCTAATGCTGATTGACAAAAGTAGATCGACCCATTTTATATCATTTACAGCATCCAAGAAATGCAAAATACGTCAATATTATTTAGATATATACGACCAGAGTACACCTACAATCTCCACAACAGCATCGATGTGCAATTAGCACATTGCAGAGCTCGTTCTGGCAATGCTTTCGTCACCAATAGTAACTGCTACTGACCTACTGCCGACCACTCGAAGTGTTAATTGGTGAAAATTGATTATTAGGAAGAAGACCGTTCCCGTTACGCGGTAGCATTGCACACTGGTTTTATTATAAAAAAGTATCAATTTCATAATTCCAGATTGCCATCGCCCAGGGTCAGGCCACAACGATCCATGTGCAGCGGGATGGACTCAGCACTCTCACCGTGGTGGTCAGTATATTTTCCTGAATCAATTGAACAGCTGCTTGCACTTGGATTTCATTAATTATTTGTTGTCTCTGTAAAAGTATGATACGTTTAAATCTAGGAAAGATATATGCTAAATCAGGGTAAGGGTAATTAAATTGACCTCCTTCTTGAGTTTCCCGCCAGTTTGACCACTCCGAGTAGAGACTGCGGTTCATACTCCTCCAAAGGAGGATGCACTGGGACACGGACAGAACAGCGTTGCAGAGCATGTAGCTGTGGTTCTTTGGCCGAATGATCATAGACCAGCGTGACCACAAAATCCCGCTGAACGCCAAGACTGCAGATTGTCTCTTGGATATAAGATGCGGGGGACGATTGAAGACGTCGCTTAATCCGGCCAGGACAACGCACTAAGGAGGGGTTTATATTTATAATATGAACAAGAACTAGGATGTAGCCTAGCGGACGACGTACCCACTTCACAGCAGGGCCCCAAAAAATACAGTACGTGGACCTTGAGAAATATAGATTTAGATTGAATAACCTACGTCCTGGTAGAGACAATCCTTACCCGCAGGCGAGAGCCACAGTGGCCGCATAATTGCCGGAACTAGTTTGTCTGCGTTCCTAATTAAGCAGCCATATAAACGAGTGAAAGGTCTCATAGTAGTAATTTCGTCCCGAATTTATTCTTCAACATTATTTACTTTGAATTTTGAATGATCACTCAAGGAATGTTGAAATAATTATAGTTTCGGGGGGTTTATTTTAACTTAAATCCAGTTATTTGTATTCTGCACAGCAAAGAAATACACAAGGATGCTTAAAGTAATCAACGGATGAAGGCCAAGTCAAGTGGATTTACTAGATCCTTAATCGGAATGCTCTTACATCAACCTAAAGATATAAAGTCAAAATAAAAAGGGACTTCTTCGCGAAGCTGTATATCTTTTAGTATTTCCCTTTTCTGATTAATTTCAAAGTTAAAATTCCCTCTAATCGAACATGTGCCCCTTTCCCGCTCCATTAACCCTTCTCAAACAACTTTTCGTTTGATTCTCTGTGTCTTTCTGAATTTTTGCAGCTCCACCAATGTGAACCGACGATTGCCCAGCTGAAGAGGGCAATCGGTTTGATCTCTCGAGCACAGCACAAGCGCAAGCAACGCGAACGGCACGAAGAGCGTCTCAGGCGTCGGGGAATTGCCGAAGAATCGGCTGGAGACGAGGCGAGGCACGAAGATTGGCGGCAGAGACGGCAACCAGTTGTGGCTATGGCCAGCTCCACCGGCGAGTTAGTTCACTCCGCTCAGCGCAACGGGCACGATCATCGCGCATTCGTCTCGTGGCGATTTCTATGGCGCTGCTTTGGCCTTTTCAACGTGGACACCAATCAGCCGATCGACGACCGAAGCTCCAGCGGGAGAGCCACATTAAAGGAGCTGGGCATTGAGAACGCGGCCACCCTGAAGTTTGTGCATCGCGTCAAGTACTTCGGGCGCCAGCGGCAGAGCTAATGCCGAGTTAATGATAGTGATAGTGAATTCCTCGATATTTAACCACCTGATTTGAAAGTCGGGCAGCAATCTGCGGACAATCGAGATCGAGGCCAGTGCATTATGGATCGACTGGTTTGGCTTTCGCTTTGCATTTCACTGGGATTGCACCTCCTGGCCACTCTCACCACTGTCGTCGATGGCCTACCATTCGAGGACGGCAATAACAATAATGTCAAAATCACACGCCGCAGTCTGGAGCTGACCCAAACCATCAATATTCAGCGGCAGGAGTACATGCAGAGGCAATGCGAGCTGCTGGGAGAGAACACGCAAACGCTGGAAGACCTCAGCGAGCTGCAGATGGACCACATGATTGTGGACAAGGAGCACAAGCTCCTCTACTGCTATGTGCCCAAGGTACGGATGCATTTTTATGTCATCAGCTAAATATTTAAGTCAAATGCTGCGTCAGCAATGTAAGGGAGCATATTCAGCGCAAACAGACACACGTTTTAAAACTGATCTCCGGAATAATTCTATTTTAAAGGGCCTTCTAAATTCTAAATCGTTCTTTTAATTGATGAGAATTTTCTACTCAGAGAATCGCGATAAATTATATTTCTTTAGCGGTTGCCATGTGTTGTCCCAAAAGAACAAAATCGGAACATTAGTCAAAAAACCGGCATCTGTCATTTCTCTGTCTCGGTTTTTACATTTTGCCTCTGCTTTTTGTTTATAGAAACTTGTTTTCCCGCTATTATCACGTGTTTTTGTTGATCTTGCGGCTTGTGGCAGCAGTACCATCGATCGACTTATAATAATTTCTTAGCTACATTATATAGAGCAACACTTAGATAGTCAGCAAAAGAATCGGATTTCAATTGGCACCTAAACTAGATTTATAACGCATTTGATAGCTTAAGCTCAACGTACTTCTGAGTTATCGGAAAGTGGATTCCATGCTCATGTCAGCTATATGCACATATATATATTGTAACTGGGTACAAGTGCTGATTTCACTCAATTTAAACGATCAAATACAACAAAAGGAATTCCACTATGAGCAGCAAATACAACCTCCGGTAAATGGGCAGCAATTATAGGCTATTACTTCAGTAAAAATGCTAATTTATTTGCCATTTCTAGGCAGCTTAATGCGCAAATCTGGTATGCCGCAAGTCAAAGGCCAAAGTCTTAAAGTGTATGTGTTTTAGCTTTAAATGCTTCAGTAGTTTTGCTCTCGTTGACTCCTATTGATAAGCTTAATTTAAATATATATTTTTAAAGTAGAACGAGATTGCTAAGGTCCCCATCCTATGACGTGCGTAGCATTAGATAATCTCTTTAATTTAATTAATATTATCATCTGAGAAATGAACCCTCCTTATTAATTTGCCTAATTGGATTAGGAAATTGAGTTAGATGTAAATCAGCTAAAAGAAATGGTCTGTGGCCTTATCAACCCAATGAGTTATTGGAAAACATGAAACTGAAACTATGAGATTAGATTGCCATGTGCCGGCCGCCTAGGTGTTTGAAGTTAAGGTGTGAGACATATGTACATATGTGAAGTGAGGACAGAAATAGCTGGTGTTTCATGTTGCCGTTGCCCTTTGAACCTTTACTTTTCGCCACTTCATTTCGGTAATTCGAAGAAACTGAGTAATAGATAGTGAATGATGTAGCATATCTCAGGGGAATTCGTTTTGATTTACAAGAAATACAAGAAGTAGTGTCAGGGTAAACTTACTTTAGTGTTAAATCACATTAAAGCAGTTAAGTTGTGGGTAAGATTAGGATTGTTTAAATATGGGTGTTTCAATAGATTAGCTTCAATTAAAACTGTGCATACAACCAACTTACCTTTATATTATATTACATACAACAATATTACAACTTATACTTATAATAACCCAAACTATTATAAATTATATTAAGTGGCACTTGCAAAGTTAGTCACACAATGTCAATGGGAGTATCTCATTCCACATTAGGAGGTGTGTCGCTAGAACATGCCACCTGAGTGCCTCGACTCGACTCACGTTCCCTGTTATCAGTTGACATTTCTTCAATGACTATCATCGGATATGGGCGTAACTAGTTTCGATTTCCTCAGCCACATCGGTTACAATTTTGAATTGCGGATTTCGCATTCCCATTTGCCGCTCTCAACTGGCTAGTTTAGCATTTTCCCAGTCCGTTCTTTCATGAAGTCGTAAATTGTTTATGTTTACCCTTGGGCAATAGCCCCTCAAAGTGCCTGCCTGCCCCCACTAAGTGAGGGGGCTCGCCACACACTCGTTGGTAATTTTATACCACCATCGCGTGTTGCCTTAATGGCCATAAAGAAATTGCGTTAAGTTCAACTTACGAAGCTTATTGTTGATTACGTATCGAGAGTATTGCAAGCATTGTCAGACCTTTGAACTTATAGAGATTTAAAATATATAGAAAGGAGTCTAAAAGTGTGGCAATTATGTTTCAAATTTAGCCTATTAGGCCGTCTTTTCCTCTTTTATGTTTAAAAACCACAGCAATTTCTGTGGCGTCACTCATCTGAGATATATTCAATTCGTTCAATGTTTCCTCTTACTTTCCCAGACATATTGACACAAACTCAAGTATTGAAAGTTGTGTAAACATTTAAAAGCAGGCACACTCACTCTTAGTTCTCAGTTGATTGATTGAATAGAGGAAAATGTTTGTGTTATTGCTACAACGTCATGAACTGAATGTTATTTAAACAGAAAATCAGTAATGACTAGACGACAGGTATTGGAACTTGAAACTGATGAAAAGAATATTTTTGGTTTATTTAAAAATCACTCGTTTCACTTTTCAACCTTGCCTATTTCTGATATTTTTCTACCTCAATTCCTGTTCCACGTAAGAAACATGTTTGTTTTGTAATGTGAAATGTTTTTGCGGTGTTTAATTGCGCTCGACATTGCCCGCCCAACTAAATGTTTATACATATGTACTTAGACGCACATAGTATATATACTAGTGTGTACATTTTACCCATCTATTTGTTGTAGTGTCTAGTCTTTGTTGGTTGACTTTAACGACTTGACTTATTGCCCAATGTTTTCGTAGCAGGGCAAACCTTCTCCGCCTGGCCATCTGAGTAAGATCTTTTTCTTTTTGTTTGGCGAAAATTATAATTTATTGCAGTTGACAATTAAAACCAAAGTAATTCAGCTCGTATAAAACGAGGTCTTCGAAGAGATTTCATTAAACGATTACCCCCTCTCGGAGTCGCAGAAAAACCAACAAAATCCAGCAATAAAAAAGTCATTCGGTTTGTCAGGTCACTTGTTGTTCGTTGCTTGACCAAGATATCAGACAGCTCATGTTACAAAGTAGCTTGTATTTCTTTTCAAAAGAGTCTTTCAACCGGTTTATTAAATTTTTTTAATGGTTTGAATAAAGGGATGCAGAGAAAAAGTGTCATATCAACAAAAAGAAAATACTTTTCGATATATTGTACTTTAAATAAATATATAAAAAATATCAAACCCCAGAAACAGATCAGATATGTTAAGAATAGTTTTAAAAATGAGTGTACATTTGACACCTGCGCCTAGATTTATCAGACCATTATCTCTACCCTAACCACTCATATACACTTCATAGAAACAGGGCCTGATAGATTCATGCTTATCGGTGGTTCCCTAAAATTATGCTTGCTTGCGAAATGTACAATAATTGGATGATTCACTCGAGAACCGCACAAGATACATCATTCACATGAAGACTCTCGACCTTCTGGCTGAGATATTTGAAAATGTAAACTGTTGATATTTTTTGGAATTATTTCTTTTGTTTATTTGGTTTAATTAGCAGATGAATAGTGTTTAACTAAACAAAATCTGTTTTTCTGCCTTCAGGTTGCCTGCACAAATTGGAAACGGGTGCTGATGATGCTCACGGGCAAGTGGCACAATGGAACCGATCCTCTCCTGATTCCTGGATCCTTAGCCCACTCGGTGGGAATGTTTAGCAAGCTATACGATTTAAGCGAAGCCGAGCAACGGCAGGTGCTCAGCGAGGAGTATACACGTTTTATTCTCGTGCGACATCCCTTCGAGCGGCTACTCTCCGCTTATAGGAATAAATTGGAAGGGGATTCCCCCAGTGCACGCTACTTCCAGTCGCGTGTAGGTCGCCAGATCGTGAAGGAACTGCGGCCCGGAGCCAGTAATACTTCCCTTGAAAACGGCGACGATGTCAGCTTCGGGGAGTTTGTCCAATATCTGCTAACTCCGGAACTGAGTCGTGCCAATCAATCGGATTACAACGAGCATTGGGAGGTGATATCCAAGCTCTGCAATCCTTGTGTGGTGAAGTACAACGTTGTGGGTGAGTTGTAAATAACTACTATAACTAGTAAAAATCGATCAACGTTTAGAAACCGATTATTAAATTAAAATCCGTTCACAGGAAAATACGACACACTGCTGGACGACTCCGCTTTGGCATTGTACCTAGCTGGAGCCAACAATTTAACATTCCCCACTGGCCACAAGCCGTCGAGCACGCGGGCTAATCTGCGGAAGTACTTCGATCCCCTGCCAATCGGTGCCATACGCAAGCTGTACGAGATCTATGAGGAGGACTTCCGTCTCTTCGACTACGGACTGGATGATGTTCTCGGCTTTGAGTTCGGCTGATTCCAAACCATTGCTCTCTCTTAATTTCCAAGTCGCCACCATAACGCTTTCCACTGGAGAAGATTGTGATTTTAGGCTAGAATTCGTATAATTAAGAGCAGTTCAGTGCGAATATTAATTTAATAGTGATTACCTCCCCGCACGTCACAACTACTTCCAAGGGTTTCAATTATAGTCTCCCAAGTTGTTTGTTTATCTATTATTAAGTGATTCAAGGAGCTCAAAGTGTTTGTTAATTATTATTGATACCATTTCATAATGATTAATTAGAATTTAACTTGTACTTTATAGATCAAATTAAGATTTTAAATTTTATATGTAATTTCCAAATGATACTTAGTAAATCATTTAAGTACATAAATTTAAAGCTGAATTCTATTGATAAATGCATAATTAAATACTTGAATCGCTCGTTTTTCACACTTTAATGAAAAGATTGACTAGAGAGTTCATATTTAAATAGGCAGTGGGTTGAAATGATTGAGCCTATAAAGTATGCACATATGTATTTGTTTAAGAAAACTGCTTTCATTTGTTGTCTGTCCTTTTGTACATGTAATCAATTCGTAAATATCAATATAACCATTTATTTAACGAACTCTCGGCAAATAAACAGCTTCTCGCGCGTTTACATGGCAATTGATCTCATGGACAATAAGAGCGTATAATCTGCTGTGTTTTTATTATTTTAAGCTGAAAATTGTTATAGTATTGGAAAGTATTCAAGTTATATTCCCTAGGCTAGAATCTACAACCTAGTGAATAAGTGACGCAGGCTTAACGTCAATTTAAAAATACCCATTTGCTTATCAGGCTAGAATTCCAGAAAACTACTCGTAATGCGCTTGCACTTCTTCGCATTGACATTAGTGCACTCGCTTATCTCCTATCAGTTTAAAGCTCCCCTGATAGCTGATATTCTGCCAGAATTTCACTCATTTTAATGACTGCCCTTTCATTGCATAGAAGCTTTCATGTTTTTCGTCAGCGGGAAAATAAAAAGCTCCATTAACTCGACGGCGTCTGGGGTTGTTTATCACCAAGACATGGACACGAACGATTATAATCGTGAACATGTGCATATAATATGTATTTGGGGGCTGACCAATGATCAGCGGTCAGATGAATTTAAATACGCAGTATTGTCAATAAGAGACGGCGGAACGGCGCCGAACGCACCAGAGGGAATGCTGGCAGACGTGGCAGATATCTGATAGATACTTTTATCGCCGCGACATATCCGAAATAAACAGGCGAACAGATAGCACATGATGATAAACCTGCACCTGCCATGCCAGGCCTCCTTCCGCCGGACTTGGTTCAAGGTCACTACGCAGAAATTAAATGCAATGCTCGATCGTTTATCATGCTCAAGCCGCTAAAATTGTTGTTTTTCTAAAACGAAAAAGGGAAAGGTATCAGCAAATGCGAAGTACAAATGTGTTAGCTTTCTGGTTTAAAAAAATATCATAAAACTAGAATATCTTTTTTCCAGTGCACTAAATTAATGTTCACTTCTTTTTGCTTGTTTTTTGGTTATTCAATGACTGCTTCGTTTATTTTGCTACGTCCGTTTTTCGCTTTTTTTTGTGTTTGCCTCAATAACAACTTTAAGTTAGACATTGACAAGACATTCGAAATTATTATTATGTATTTTTTTTTTTTGCATGTTTGCTTGGGACTCTGTTAAGCTTTGGCAAAAGAATATGCATATATATGTATATGTGTGTGTGTGTGTGTGCTCTTTTTGTATGTGACAAGCAAGGCATTCGCGTATCATATTCTCACATTCCTCTCTCCGAACAATAATCCCAGTCTCCGTCCCCCGTCATCCATTCATCAGTCCTTGAATTCAGATTTCCGCATCGCTGCCACGCCTCCATCTCGTTGCGCCCGCCAAGCTTAGTCATTGTAGCTGTAGCGCTGCTTCACGCTGCGGTACTTCTTCAGGGAGTACAGCGCCTCCACTTCCTTGGCCAGGTAGCGGCCTTGGGCGAGCAGAGCGACAATCTTCTTGGGGTCCTGCTCATCCTTGTGGTTCATAAAGGCATCGTGAATCTGCTTGCGGAACTTCTGCGGCCCGTTTAGGCCGGGATATTCGCGGCCCAAATACTGCAACTGCAATTGGGAGGCAAAATGTTTACGCAATGTCAGGTGGGGGTGGCTCAGTCGCTTTTTTTTGGGCGGGGGCGCACGTGGAACCGGAACTCTTGCGATCTGCTGACCCAGAAAACTTACGTGCTTGTAGAGGCTAATGACTTTCGAGCGCAGCTGTGACATCACCAGTAATCAGCGAGTTTTGTTTGTTTGTTAAATGCAAGTTATCAACTAATTTCGGGGAGCTTGCAGCTTTTATTTTAAAATATTCAAGTGAATCACACGCAATGTGACCGTAGCGCTGCAGATAAAATATACCTTCCGGTTCATCGAAGTGCAAATTTTCATTTTGACAAGTATACCAAATACCCATATTTTGTATATTTTTTATGGTTAGTTGCAGGTGTTGTAAAGCTTAAAGTAGCCATAATTTAAACTATATAGCATATATAAATAACAATTATCGCATAAAACTTGCAAATGAATTAATGATAATGCAATCGAAATACCATTTTCGGTATTTTTATTCATCGTTTCAAACCCATCTCTAGTTATCGACGGACTATCGCACATTACGTTGCGTTTTTGCATCCCTAGTCGATCAGCTGTTGAAAGAAGAAGCACGCGATGGGAGTGTTTTCGTTCGAGGCGAAATTACTTTTATTATTTTCGCGCTAAATATTAAGCTATTGACGAGCTAATTTAGTTTAGAACGCGACCGAGTAGTTAGCAACTCTCGCTGTGATAGTGGCCAACGCGCCGCCCGGGTTAAAGTGCGTGAAAAAGTGAATCGAAAATTGAGACACCTCCGCGACCTCCGATACAAAGTGGGAAAAATCGAACCTGTGTGCGTGTGCATGTGTGCGTGTATAGCCGTGTGTGTGTGTAGAATAATAAATTTAATTAAAAGCCTAATGTGCAACGCTGCCAGTAATCTGTAGCCGAAAAAGTAATGCCATTGTATATATCTATATAGTGTGTGTGTGTGACCGATCGATGAGAATGAGTGCAGCGATGACCAATCGATAATCGCAAGTGCGCACCTTACAGCAACAACAAAGCAGGCAGCCAGGCAGGCACACCTAAACCGCCCCCCACTTCCCCTCGCCATTGCACACACACACACAGAGTCGCGAGGAGATGGCGGACTTGGCGGATATGGCAGCGGTGGAGGAGACCAGCGACGAAGGCTTTCCGCTGGGATTTCCAGAAGTCGGCACCTGGAACACCACACACAATGTCGCCTTCAACGACATGAATCTGGATGCGCGCATGGTAAGTGAACTGCATGCAGGGCACACAGACAAGTCCGTGTAAACCGAATACGCAATACGACCCCAAACCAATACTCTCGCACTCAGTCGCATTATAAGGCCATATAATTTGATTAATATGTTCTGGTATGTGCCAGCGAGTGAATCAACCGACAAACGAGCTTTATCTCAAAGTTTAATAGTCAGAGTGAGAAAGTGTGAGCGAGAGGCAGTCGGGGAGGGTGGAAACGGAAGAGAAGCAACGGGACGCTTATCAATCAGGGGGATTTGGTCATTGACACACACTGCCCTCCGCCTCACGCTCCCATTCCGCTTCATCCAAACTGATAACTCTGATCCCTGATTAGTTAGCGCTACGGTTTTTTTATGAGTGATTTCTAAATGTAATTGGGGTTTATGCAGACTCTTTTAATATGATTTCTTACAGGGATATAGCCAATATTAGTAACAATGCTTTCTTCATTCCTTAGTCTTTTGATAACCACTTCAAGATCATGTACTTTAACCTCATGTATCCGAGGCTTCTTACTTCATTACATTGCTTTTATCAGGTTTATTCAGAAAAGCTTTATTTTCTTTACCGTATGCATGCATATGCATTTATGTTCACACATAACTGTTTTTTGCTGATGCATACTTAACCCTTTCAGGGTATTATAATTTTAGTCAGGAGCTTAAAACGCAGTGAAGGAGTCATTTCCGACCCTAAAAATCATATATATTCTTAACAAGCATCAAAAGCCGAATCGATCTAGCCATGTCTGGTAAAAAAATAAATTTTCCAATTTTTAACAAAATTCAATAAGGGGTTACATCGTTAATATTTTTAAATATTTTATAAAAATTTAATTTTTTTTAATTTTAAAACATAGTATACAGAATTGTTAGCCATATAAAAACAAGCACAGAATTGAAATTAATGAATTTTTGGCTTAGTTATGATTGGATTTACCCCAAAACAAAAGTAGCATATAAAATATCCAATTAGTATACATTTGTGAAAAATGCACTCACTGGACTGCTTGTACAGTTAATATACAATTTATATTCCGTGTATTAAACTACACCTGTTGCTTTATGACTAATAGCTTATACCAGCTGCAATGAAAAATATCCTATATCAAAATGAATTACTTTAAAATTTCATTTATTTTGTTAAGACTAATAAGAGTTTATATTTAAATAAAACTTCGTTACTTTAAGCTTTTGGTACTAAACAGTTAGTCAAAAGTTTGGAAAGCAATAACAGTAAATGTACATTTAAAGCTTGGTATGCCTTGGAGTTGAAATCAAAGCATTTGTTGTTTGGTATTCATTGAGTAAAAACAGAGCTTTATAAATCAAAATTATATTAGCGCTCATCAGCTTTTCCTTGCACAAAATATTATATTTTTTTTTTTTTTAAAAAGGAATTTTTTGGTGTTTTAACTTTTATTATACTAGGATTTTACGCGCTTTTCGTCGGTTAAAAATTTAAGTTAATATTTATAAAACACAACAACAAACATAATAAAGTACCGGGATCACATAGGCGTATCGAATCAACTGTCAATTAGTTAGAACCAGTGCCACCTGGTTGTTATTTACATAAAGTCGTGAACGGAATAGTCAAAATTTCAACAATTTAACAAGATTTATTAGAAATTCGAGTCTAGAAAACGAAACAATTAATACAACAAGGAGTCCATAATGCAGCCTATGCGTAAACTGATCTTCTGTCTGGCGACCCGTTTGCCGCACTTAAAATCTCTGATTCGGAGCGCCAGCGGAAGCAAAAGCTTCCCTGAGCCATCCATTGCCGGCGGGGAGGAGGAATTTGAGGCCGAAGGCGATATGTGTGCGCTGGACCAGCAATATCCGATTTTTCGCAGCGGCCAGACCGACATCTTGTACATGGCACAGTGCGTGGGTGTGACATACGAGGGCATCATCGCATCAACGGATCTGCCATATACCACCACCTACTTCCCGGGACCTGTGGAGGACGATGACAGGATAAATTCCCCTGTTGCAAAACCAAGCGATATGAGGGTGATGCCGTGTCCGAAGCTGCTGTTGAGGAATATGCGTATTTTGTTTCAGCACCCGTATGAAACATTTCACAGCAGCATGAACATCGGTATGATCGTGATGCGATTCCCAGAGCCTGACACCGACCTCACCTTGCGCTCCTTCGTCCTTATTGCCAGGCACGAGGCGTGTCAGATAATGCGCAATGGTTACTGGGCTGACTTTGTGAATCCGGCGACAGGCCGCGGCCACTTCTGGCCCGCCCAGCCCACTCGGAAGCATTACCGAGCTTCGCAGCTTTGGGACAAGACATGACCCTTACCGATTCGAATGGATGCACCATAATAGATAATGCAAAAGGTGATCAGTTCATCGGATACATCTTCACCGACATGCCGTGCACGCTTCTGTCTTCTTGGCGCTCAAGATAAATCATGGACGATTTTCCCTAGTTGCTGATGCCAATTTCACTGCTTGTGTTCATAAAGAAATTCATTTTAGAAAACCAATTCACGACAACAACACTACACAATCAACAAATTTTAAGTAGTCAAGGCCAAGTCCAATCAATGTTTGGTAAACATAAAATTATACAAATAATATGTAAACTTTCTATACTATACCGTCCAAGGAAACGTGGCTGAGAAGTCGCCCAATTGAAACAAGAAACTTGAAGACTCGAAAATTTAGGATTTATACGATGTTACAATTTTAAACAAGTAAATTTGGATCCTAAACTGAATTGTTTGCGTACTCATTGTTATATTTTTGTTCATTCATTTGAACTTTAAACCTCTAGAATTTCAGTCTAAAGGTTCTCGGAACACTTTAGAAGCGGCTTACAAAATTTATCTCTACGGGTTACGACTGAAATTTTTTATATACTGACAAATAATTATTAAAGCTAAGGTTAAGGAACAAGGTTAATTAAATTATATTAAATTTTGCATAGGAAATGTAATAAATTAAAATGCTTTATTTGATTTTTTGATAATATAATAATCATTTAATCCTTGAAATGAAAATCTTTCTAAAAGCTATGCCTTAGACTTTGATTTAATTATTATATTTATATCAAATTTCTTTCTCGACAAACATCCCTCTTCATTATATTTCTCAACCCTTTCAGATATGGCTGCTTGCGTCGCTACTCACCACCATCACCTGGGTGACATACATCACTTTCTACAATTCCCGAGTGATCGGGATGCTGATCACAAAGATCGCCAACAGGTGGTTCATTAAGGGAGCGTACTTTAAAATCGGATCTGTGGCCCTGAATCCATTGGCTGGAAAGATTATGTTTCGGGACTTTGTGTACATCACCTACGACTACACGGTGCGAGCACAGGACGGATACTTTATCTTTCGCTGGTGGCGATCATACGTTCCCAAGGATGTCTCAGAGGATCTCTCCCACTCGGACACACGTCTATCGGTCCAATTAAATGGTTACGAGCTGCACATTTACAACAGATCCGATCTGTACGACAAGCTGGAAAAGACCTTTGGGCTGGAGCCATCGCTGCTTATACCCACGGATGTGGTAAGCAATGAGGAACGAAATAAGCTAAAGGAGCACCACATGAACCTCGAGAATGCTCGACAAAGCCAGAGGATACAGAATGTAAAGAACTCGGAGGCCATGCAGGCGACCACTTGGAGGGATCTGATTCCAGTGATCAAGATCGACATCTGCTCTGGTCGTTTCGTCTTTGGAAACCGCCTGACGCCGACAACTCTCTCGATTTCCGTGGAGGAGGCCCACTGCACCTACAGTACGAAACCAGCCGTGTGTCAATTGGATCACTTTATGCACTTTGTGAAGGCCAAAGTGGAGAATGCCAAGGTGCTCTTCTGTCCGAGTCCCAAATATACCGGATTGATTGATGAGCCGCCTCGATATATGGGAGAGGGCTTCGTGGTGATGATGTCCAATCAAATGGACTTGTACTTCTATATGGATGAGCCTGGCGTGGTGCCGCAACAACCTGTACAGATAGTCCTACCCAACGGGGATGTGGTGGAGCCCTCGCCCCCAGTTTGGGGTATCAATGCGAGATGCCTCAAGGGAACGGATTTCAGCTACGGACCCTGGGCTGATCGTCAAAGGGATCACCTGTACAAATACTTTTATCCCTCGGATTGGAAGGAGGCAGAGGTCACACCAACCCCCCAGCCTGGGGAGCTGCGCAGCTATCAGTCCTTCGATGTGACACTTTGCGTGCTAAATGAGGCCACCATCGACATTCTCTTCTCCAAGGAAAAAGAGACAAACGCGATGCACATTACAGTGGGACCTGCTTCATATGTGGAGGTTACGATTCCCTGGGTCACCCAGCCAGACGGCTATACTTCCAAGATCCAGGGTCAGCTATTTCACGTGGAGGCCACCACATCGCTGCAGTATCGCAGCCTGGCCGAGTTCGAGTCCCTGGAGTACAAGGTGAGGATCCATTATCCGACAAAGTGGAATGCACCGCAGGACTGGAGCATCTCGTTGTCTGGCTGCAAGACCAGTGCTTTTATTGTGTACAAACACAAGTGCTTCTTCCAAGACCTGATCGAGGATTGGGCGAACAAGGCCAGACCGGATATACTCAGTTTCGTTCCCTACACCTGCAACTTCAGCATCCGGCTGCATGAGTTCGAGATCCTTATGCTGTGCAACGAGTACAACTGGATAGACTGCAGCAGTGCCAACCAGGAGAACAACCACTTGGCCTTCTGTGGGGACGTCTTCGAAATGAGCTTCGCCCTGCCGTTTGACGACTTCCTGCCCAAGACGGTGACGCTGAAGTTCTGGATCCACGGCGAGGGCTTGGACCTGAGCTTGTACGTGCCGGAGGTATCCTCGGTGCGTCCGATTGTATTAGCCATAGACGAGAACGCAAGACTGCTGACCAGGGAGGGCAAGCTCATCCGGCGCCCGGAGTTATACTCAAAGAAGTGGCGCAAGATCTGCCAGCGCTCCGCCGGTTGGATTGACTGCTGGGCTGTGCCAATTTTGGCACTGTCCATCCAGTATGTTTATCACCCCGTTCCGCCCTTGGGGCCCGATCCCCAGGCGGATATCACCACGCCGGAGAAGGAGGAGATTCTACTGAGTCCCATGCGAATACCCAAGGTCAGGAAATCCCCGGTGAGCAGTTGGCAGCAGCCGCCCGAGCAATATAGTAAATTCGATCCCGGCACATTGGCAGCGGATCATGTGACTGTTGAACTGGAGATTGGCAGCTCGGTTCTCATGGCCTACGGAAATGTGCTGCGCAACTTTATAAGCCTAAAGGAGAATATCTTCGGGGAGGATCAAAACTTTACTGATATGGAGCAGTCAAATGTAAATATGAAGGAGCCAGGGGCCACCCAGCTGAATCCCAAGGATCAACTGTTGGCCAAGGAAAAGGAATTGGCCAACAAATCCATTTCGGAAACTCAAGCGCCCGAGGAGAAACGGAAGCCCTTTGATCCTCGTCTCTACCGACCACTGGAAGTGATGGTTTCTGTGATTGTCCATGATATCCAAGCGCATGTGATGAAGAACTGCAATGCAGACGATCCCCCGTGTCCAGTGGTGCTAATTGAACGGTTTGGCTTCGAAATGAATAAGCGGTATCACGAAACAACTCTACAGGTTCTGGTTAGTCCGTCGTACTTGCTGGCCTCCGACTGCCTTCAGCGCTCGCAACGGGAGCAGCACATTAACCAGGGTCACCTGTTGCTCTCGGCAGTCCAGGTGAGAGGTCATGCCATGTTCAGCAATGAAGGATGTGCACTGGATGAGGATACGCTGGAATACTCCTGGCTGGTGGAAGTGCAGTTGGGAAAACTCACTGGAAAACTTACGCTGCCCCAGCTAGTGAATGTGGTCACTGGTCTGGAGACTCTCATCCTACTAGCCATCGATCCAGAGAACTGCCTGAAGTCACCGAAGACAGTAAGGAATTGCCATCACGGAGTGCCCAGCAATTTGTGTCCCCAGACCAAGGAAGAGAAGAAGTATAAGTGTCCCTCCTCCGAGGATATCAAATACAAAATGACACGAGTTTCTGTGGATGCCGTAGATGTCTACCTTATTGAGAGCGGCACTGCCCTGCACGCATGGATCTCACCCATCCGCTTGGCGAATTGTAACCTTCACGGCCAGCGGGTAAAGTCCGGGATCTCTGGCTTGCTGCCCTCCATTTTGCTACGCCTTTTCATGCTGCACACTACGACCTCCTCGTTTAATACCAACACCACGGGCAGCAATCGATCCGGAAAGTTAAGGCGAGCAGATCAGGACTCTTTGAAGTCGCAGGATGCAGCTGGAGGATCACACTATGCTCCACATGGCAAGGCAGGAAAGCGCAGCTCCAACTCCTTTTCAAGACGCGATTCCCGGGATGAAGCCACGCGAAAGCTGAGGGATAGCTTCTCGGAGCCGCATGCTAAGCGCACACCGGAAACATCCGATCTCTGCGAGAATTGGGTGGAGGTGGGATGCACTTCGCTGGGTCCCATTCTCCTGGAGGGAGCTTCCGCCTTGCCGATACCGGATCACGAACTGCATCTAGTGCAGCACAAGTAAGTGAAATTCTATAAATATGTGTTCCTTGCTAGAGCTTTTGTCTTAATTTCAGTTTCCTGCGCGAACATGATGCCAAGTTTAAACGCTTATGGTTCCTCTGGTCACATAATGGAAGTGCTCTGTCCTCCGGAACAGAAATTTCACGATGTGGATGCATTGGAGGCTGCGCCTTCTTTGGCAGTAATCGAAATGGTCAGAAGTTCTTCAAGCCAACGGCACAGGATGTCCACGATAACTACAACATTGCGCGTTACTTGTAAGTACCTCAGAAATTACTTCTTCCTTAGCTAAAAAAATTTTAATTTAAAGCTAATATATAGTAGATTCGTTTTGTTACTGGATTTAATGATATTTATTCAGTTTTTCCGTCTCCATATTATCTTTGAGCTTCCAAAGTTAATAACATTATCGTAGGTTCGCATTCAAATCAATAATATTTCGAATACAAAACGTAAAACATAAACTTTAAAATGACAAACATAATCAAAGAACCAAAAGCTAACTTAAATGTCTATACACGATTGGTTTGCCAAATTTACTCTTGGTGCAGAGGTGGTTTTCTGACCTCGATGCCATCATTGTTAATGATCTTTAGAAGCCAAGAGTCACTGCTGTAGCTGTCGTGTTCGCCGGCAATGACCATGCAGCTAGAGACAATAGACACCGCCTCGGACACCTCGATCCTCTCAGTGGGGGTTTCCTGGCTCTGGTTTTTGGGCCCAAGATGGCTATCCAGAATTGGCAGCACCATGGCGCTGGCTGTGCCGACAGATTGGTAATTCATCTGCTCGTAATGACCAAGGGAGTCGAACGAAAGAACAACACCCTTGCCCTCCTTGTCAATTCCGGCCAGAATAGTGGATATGGAGTAGGGCGAGGACCGACTTTTGTACATGTTGTTTGAGAGCATCTGGGACATGGCATCGATACTCATGGGGCGCCGATGAGTTCCCTCGTAGTCGGACACGGTCGTCCTCATCAGACGGATCACTGCGCAGGTGTCCGGCCAGGAACCAGTGCAGGACATAACCACCAATGGTGACACTTTGAAGATCTTGTCCTGCCTGCACATGGGTATGAAGTCATTGCTGTGTATTTGAGTATCCGCCGCAATCACAACGAAGTCGTCACCGGCAATGGCCACAATGGTGCTGAGGGGATAATTAGGAAGCAGGAAAAAGATCTGCATTAAAGAAACGCCATGCAAAATTGAATAGTAAACAAGAGGATCGAAACTCACCCTTCGTTTAACGAGACTTCCTTTTCTAATTCCATATATTTCAATGATTCCATATCTTTTACGGACAGTTTCGATATTGTAAAACTTAAAATTCAATAGCTACTTGTATGCTTATATATACTGTATCCTGTAAAGAAATATTGAAAACACATTAATTTACGTTTCTCACAAGATTTTAAAACCGTTTTGTAGTGTTAATTGGTTTTTTTTCGAGTAAATATTTAATATAATTATTTTTTGTATTTTCTACAGCATCATCAACAATAATAAGGACTTTGGATTCGGCGAGAGCATTCTGCACCAGAGTCAACTAGTCTTCCACACACCACCCTACAGTCTGCACTGCGTTTCGCTGTACGATTCGGCCGATTTTAATGGCAAGGGTCGTCTGTACAGGCCGGCCGGGGATTTACGTAATGGAAGCCTTAAGAAATCGGATCTCTGTTCCTTACCCGATGGGACCAAGTTCAAGATCGGTGCCAGTGGAACAACCGGAGTCGAGAACCTGACCTGAGCAATCGAAACAAGTCGCGTGAGAGCATTGGTTCGCCAAATACTTTGGAAAGGAGGAACAAACGATATCCCTGCACACGCCAGACCTCCGTGGAGGTGCCCTATGCCCGCCTATTGGACAGTCCCTCCAAGAAGCTTCAGTTGCAACACGAAGGGGTAGTGCAGGTGGCAGCGACATGGGAAGTGGGCATCGACGCGGCTCCGACTCGAACAGGCTGCGAGTGTCGCCGCCGAAGACGAGCATTTCCGACTCCAGACTGACCGGGGATGTCCTGGATGATGAACATGAGGTACGACCAGAAATAATATTATTAAATTAAATTATGAAATAATATTACTAATATTTATTTACTTTATTCCATGTTTAGATACCTGACGAGATGTCACACTCGGCACCCCATTCTCATCCCCTGGAGTTCGAGATAGCTGATATAGCTCTCCATGCCCAGGGCTTGGGGGTGACCACCTTCCTAGAGAAGTGCAGCGCACCATATCGCTGACATCGGAGAATCCCTCGGAGATGTTCTTCTCCGCCGAAGAGGACATATCGAATGTGATGTCGCAGCGAGGATCTATGAAGCAGCGAAATAGTGCCAACAGTGGATCAGTGGTGCTGTCTGGAAAGAAGCGATTCTCATCAGATTTGAGGTAACTGCTGGAATATAATCCCCATTTCGTATATAACAAAGTGTATTTTTATAGTATTGGAGCCCAAAACGAGAATGGCAGCCATACCTTGCCCACATATCGCAGCGACTTGGAGATCCATGCTCCCGATGGCAATAAAACGCTTCCGAAACGCCCGCAGAGCACTACTGAACTGGTAAAGATGAACAATTACCAATATTCGGGATTACTTCGATTATGTATACATACTCTCATATGTTAGGTCATTTACTCTGAGACTTTTACACACCAATCGCGTTTAGCTTTGCTGCTTTAAAGCCAAGTTTTGAATTATTCACTATATCCTTATCGTTTGATTCGATTTCACTCAGTTATTGATCAGGGCAGCAAATGACAATCCAAATTCCATTATGAAAACGCTCTTTCAGTGCATGCTTCGCTCTTTAATATTTAAGAACATATATATAACTCTAATATAAATAACTTATAAGCAACTAAGCAACGATTTTTCAATATCCAGCTTTTAAATGTATTAACTAGGGATCAAAAGTCCAATTTGATATCGCATCTTAGACATTTAACATTTTATTTGTCTCAAGATATCAAACAATATATTCAAATTGATACAAGATCGATAGATCCTAGTATTTACACAGCTGGATAATGAAAGATCGATTCTAAATCTGTACAACTGTAATCCACACCTAAAATCTATTCCTTTCCTCAAAACTCGACTCATCTAAAATCGAAATCCAAAACTAACTAAATCGATATAAAAACCGAAATCAAAACTCATCCAGAACGAAGACGCGAGACGCATTCACGGTCTTGCTACACCAATAAGAAAATTAACAAATATCTCATCACGACCTGAGTACCGACATTTTGTTCATGATGTGAGTAGTTCTTAGTAGTACCAACAGCAAAAACCAAAAACCTCTTCTAAACTAACAAAGTAGTGCAACTAAACCAAAATTTCCATCTCGATGTACCTGTAGCTATTTCCTACGTTGATCTTAAAACGGAATTCGTGAAAACTCTTGGCTCGGCGTTCAACATTTGCATGAATGTTGGAAGTTAGTGCATGTGAAGTTTACTTGATCTAGATTTAGTCTTAAGATATTAGTTCCCGGACCTTTTGGCTTTCTGTCCAAGAACGTCAAGTTACCAAAGTTTATTTACAAAATTTCTTGCAAATTTGTTGCAATCTTAAATGAATTTTTATTATGTATTTTGTTGTGTATTATTTTCGAAATTATTTCTGAAAACCAGAACTGAGCACATCAACATGAACGTTTCTCACGACTTTCTGCTTGCGCCCTTTGATCTGGCTATATTAGTTGTAGCAGCCGTAAAAGCAAACATCTCCTCTGCCTCTGCCAAACCCAATTGTAATCCATTGATCTCATCTCCATTCTATACAGGCTGATTCCCGTGGATCATCATCCGGCACACCATCACTGTCTTCCAACTCCTTTATCTCGGCCATGTCGTCGCAGGAGGATGTGGCTCTGGTCAATCTCCATCAGCAAGTCAACCGGCCGATCATAGACTCGCCGTTGCTAATGGCCAGCTATCTGAATCATCTGTCGCAGGTGAAGTGCTTCAATTGGAATGGCTGCTCCTTTCCCTTGGGACCCGATGTCTTTTCCACGCCACTGTTCTCGGAAAATGAAGATGGTGGCCTAACCTACATTGGCAGCAAAATGCTGCCCCACTTTGATCTCTATTCGTGTTGGCGGGAGATCAAAGTGGTTCCCCGATACGAAAATGCAACGGGTAGTAACAGTTCGGCCACATTTATGGGAGGACCCAAGTCGCATCCCTGGGATCCTAGTGTGCTGCTAAAGGAGGAGGAAACGGACAAGACGACAAATGGGTTCGATGATGGCGAGTTCATGAGCCTGCAGGCAGAGGGAGGAGCGGCCTGCACATCGGTGGTGGCGCGACTTAAAGGACAGCTAAACGTCTTCCTTACACCGCTTTTGTTGGAGGGATTGCAAAGGTGAGTGTTTTATATTCCATTATTTCCATATATATTTTTAAATATAATCAAGTTCCTCATTTGGGTTGCCGTGTATAAAAAATATATATATTTAATAGGTAAAATTAACTAGAGTTGCAGGGAAACTAAAAATATGAAATTTAACTTCGCTTCATGCGCTCATGCGCTAACGGAGAGTCTTTAAACGCTGCATGGGCATTAATCTGGCTTCCCTGATCCCGAGGAAACGAGTCCATCAGTTTCTTAATGTATGTCTCTTTGGAGTTCTGAATGCATACAGATATATATTCGGTTAGGATATCATATTATATGGTACTCACCTCTGGAGCATCATCAGTTGACCTATTCTCTCGCTTGCCCCTCCTATTATCGGATGTCCAATCTGATTCCCCTGGAGAACTGACCTCCTTCGCGCCAGCCAACTTATCCAGGTTCAAGCTTTGGCTCATGCTGCGATCCTCCTTCAAACGACGTTCGTTTTCCCTCTGAATAAATCGTTTTGAATAGAATTTAGATAGCGAGGCGGATCGCGGGCACTACTGGCAATAAATCTGCAATGGAAAATGGTTTATTATACATCAGAAATCCATATGGATTAGCCGCTAACCTGTCGACTTCCAAGTGACTTTCCCGCTTGGTCAAATCAGCTTTCATTTGTTGTGGTTCATTATGTACCTGTTCTTTTTTTTGCATTGGAACACTTCGCTTCTCAGAAGGTCTTTCTATTTCGGAATTTCTTTTTTGATAGAGCTGTCCTTTATAAGAGACAAGTTGTTCACCTTCTCTCTTATTTAATTCCCTTTGGTTTGTTAAAGGCTGATTAGAATTCCATTGCTCAGTTCCTTGATGATAGTTGATCCTAGCACGCTGCTCTCTATGTATCTGACCTTGTGGTATTAGAGCCTGACTTTCTTTATTCGAATTTCTCTTTCGCGAAAGCTGATGTCCTTCATAAGGCGCAAGTTGAGCTGGTTGAAGTCTAGCCTTATTTAGTTTCGCTTGATTTGAAGACCATTGCTTAGGGCTTGGATGAAGTTGACCTCCGATTGCTGCTCCCTATGTGATTGACCCTGTGTAAAAGCCTGGTTCTTATGCTCGGCATTTCTCTTTCGAGAGATCTGATTTCCGCTTGGGTGAAAGTTAACCTCTGATCGAAGCTCTCTATCCTGACGATGAAGCTGATCGGCGTTAGCCTGATGATAGTCGCGCATTTGACTGTTGAAATGAGTCGGCTCAAAACTGTGCTGATTTTGTAACTGTTGGTTAGCCCGATTTTGGTGTTCAGAAGCGGACAGATTTCCTTGCTCCAGTTTGGCCGTATGACTTTGCTTTAAGCTTAAGGCCTTATTTTCCTGATGAAACGCAAACTGTTGCTTCTGATTTGACTTAAAATTAGCCTGTGTTCCCATCGCAAATTTGTCATTATTTTCCTGACGAAGCTGAGGCTGATGGCCCTGTTCTACGTTTGCCATATTATACAAATCCATATTGTCAAAATTGGCTTGTTCTATATTGGCCAAACTAGCTGGGTTCAATTTAGCCCAATTTGATAGTTTCATTTTGTCTGAGTTAGTCTGTTCTAAATTCTCCCAATTAGACGTATCAATATTGGCCAAAATACCGTGTAAATTATCCCAGTCTACCTGCTGCATGTTGATTTGAGGTGCTTGTTTTAAGTTGACCTCTTGTTCCCGTTCATAGTTTACCTCATGTTCCAGATTTAAGTTCGTTTCATGATCTATGTTGTGGTTAGCCTGATCCCAATGGGATTGCTGGTGTTCATCTTCAAAACTGGCGTGATGATTAGCCATATTTTCATGCAGCTTAGCAGGCTCCATAATCCTGGATTCTTTTGGGTAATCCAAATGTAAGGCTTCGTCTAGTGGTTCGCCCTGGTCATTAAATGAGGAAATGACTTGCTCTCCGATCTTCTCAATCCCAGATAATTCCTTCGCTGGAATGTATTTCCCTGGAGAATTCAGCTCCTGAAAATTGTTCTTATGTTTCTCCATCCGCTTTTTAGCTAAACACTCGAAGTCATCGGATTCGCATTCATTGTCCTCTTTGGGTTTCTTACGCTTAACCTTCTCATTGACCTGTGGGCACTTGCCAAAGACATCGTTGGAGCTGCAGGGAGTAGTTTTGGGCACACAATCGGGCTTAGTGGTTCGAGAGCATTTCGGTGTACAAGTGGTTTTGCAACGCTTGGTTGTTGGACACGATTTTGGTTTGCAGGTCGTCGTTTGTGGCTCGTCGCAATCGTTCTCTTCCCGACACCCATCGCTCAATGCCCGGTCCACAGCACGAAAGTTCTTATTGCTCCCTTGCATGCTCCTTAGACTCGCTTTGTTCTCTACGAATTTAGCTAATTATATTGGGAAAATTGATTCATTGACCACTTACCTTCTTCCCTATGATTGATATGTTCGTTTATTAAGTGGTCCAAGGACTTAAGATCTTCCAAGGTAAGATCATTGAGGGTTCCCGAACCTCAGCATCACTGAGGCCGTGTGTTAGATCGGGATAATCTGCTTGGCCAGAGAAGGAGCCATACTGGAAATCGGTCTCCTTGTATTGATTCTAGTATTGCTGGTTGTTCACCTTGATTTGCTATTGTGCACGTTTGCATTAACTTACCAAAGGATACGCCAGAAAAGAATGTATCAGGCAAAGCCAGCAGAAGTAAGCAAGCAGGAACATTTTGTATTTGTTTGGAATAAGGTAACACACTCTTTACACTCGGGACTGAGCTCACAAATATCACTAGATAAGATTTTCCTTTTACGAGATATGATTTAAAAAGAAATTTCAAGGTTTCTGCTTCTAAAAAATCGATATTTATTAACTTTCTTTGCGAGTAATCTTTCAACAATTACCCCGTCAACTTCGGTGGTCAACTTCGTTACAAGAAACGAATAAAAATTGAAAGAAATTGGATTGCAACTAATTAGAGAACTTAGACCTAACCTGAGGAACAAATTAACTCTTTAACTTGGGTGCTATCTTTTTCGCAAGTGCCTGCTGTTGGTCGTTACTCCTCTTCTTGTTCGGCTTCTTGGCCTTCTTGATGCCGTCTACCTTCACGCCCCGGTATTCGGACTTCTTTTTCTGACCACTTCCAGCTGCTGCCTTGGTCTCCTTCGTGCCATTGTCCTTGCCCTTCTTCTTATCCAATCGTTTCTTTGCCCCAGCAGAATTCTGTTTTTTGGCCTTAGCCTTTCCAGATGTGCTAGAAGCAGCAGCGGCTGCGGCGGCGTCGCGCACCTGCTTGGCACCCAGTTTCTTTACGGAGTACCGCTCCACATTGATGGGTCTATCATCCAGAAGGGTCTGATTTAGTTCCAAGGCCAAGCCCACGGCATCGGGTTTCTGGAAGCATACGTATGCCACTCCCTTGCAGCCCTTGACGCCTTCCTGGAGGCAGCGGATGTAGTCGATCTCACCGCAGCTGGAGAAGATCTCACGCAGCTTTTCCTCATTGGCCGCTAAAAAGAATTATAAAAAGGTTATTCCCTGAATCTTTGTAGAGAGTAATAGGAAGTGTTGTTGGTTTATCCCTTACAGTATTTCAGACTGCCCACAAATATTGTACGCTTAGCATCTTTGTCATTGGGCTGCTCCTTATTCTGCCCGTTCCACTCATCCACCGCCTTGGCCGCCGGCGTCACGCGCAGATGGTTATCCTTGAACTCGGAGCCGTGCAGTTCCAGTGCCTTCTGGGCAATCTCTGGAGTCTGCAGCACCACGTAGGCATTTAGAGAGCCGGCTTCTTTACGCTGTTTGTGCTTGAAGAGCAGCTTGCCACCAGCTGTACGCAGCCGAATGGATTGGACAGTTCCGTATGGCTGGAAGAGCTTGACTATCTGCACTCGCTTCGTATTAATGGGAAGATTACCCACAAAAACAGTGGCTGCCTCGTCAGCAGGATTGCGTTCCCTCTTGACGGCTCCTGTTGGGGAGAATAATAATGTTATTGATTTCTATAGATTCAAGAAGCGGTTGTAATCTACGTTACCCTCATCTTTGTTATTGGCCTTGGCTTTGGTGGCCTTTCCCTTTGGTTTTGCCTTGGCGACCGCCGGCTTTGACTTCTCCCCCTCCTTTTTTATGGGTTTGCCCTTTACTTTGGTGGGTTCTGAAGCAGAATCCTCCTGCTTAACCTCCTTAGAGGGCGCCTTATTCTGTTGCTTCTTTAGCTTCTGAGCCAGCTTTTTGGCCTTCTTTTTCTCGATTTTAGCCAGATCCTTGGCGGACAGTTTTTTCTGGGGCTCTCTTGGACCGCTGCCTTTACCTCCTCTTTGGGTACCTTAGGTGCCTTCTTCTTGGCCTTGCTCTTGGGCTTCTTGACCTCCTTGCTGTCTTCCGACAAACCAGGTTCATTTTTCACAGCTTTTAATTCAGCTTTTTTGGATTCTTTTGCCTTTGGTGTTTTCATTTTGCAGTTTTATGTTTTTTATCAACACGCGGACCGGGACAGTGTGACCAACAGGTTGATAAATGAAGACGTAAACAAACAACGTAAAGTCATAAATACCGGAATCTTCTTACGTGATGTGTCCACGGTTCACAAAAATATACCAAAGTTTGGTATATTTTACGATAACAATTCAAATTGTAAAGCTCGTTACTTTTAGCACTGTGAATATCGTAAATTGCTTAAATTGCTAAAATCTATATTTAATATAATTAATTTGATTTCCAGAATGGTTGAAGCCGCCGTTCCCACAATCCAATCAATGCACTTGCTTTCGGTGGTAAACTTCATCCACACCTCGTGCATTGCGAAGGTGAACAACGACAACATCCTGAAGCGAGATCAGAGCCTCAGCTACTGGTCCCAGGTGCACTCCAACTCGAAGCGATCCACAACAGAGAGACATCTCCAGGGACCCGGGGATTCGTTCCTCAGCGACGTATACGAGGAGAGTATCTCCACAAAGACCCAGGGACTGATTGTGCTGCCCAAGGTCAGCATCACCATGCTGCAGTCCTCCATTGTGGAGGAGATCATCTCAGTGGCAGCGCTGGATAACGTTCAGGTACAGGCAGCTCTATTTTATTTTACATTTAATTTGATGAAATTAATAACCAATTAATTACTGTCCAGGATCTGAGTTGCGTTTCCCTGCTCACCTTTTACATGGAGGGCATATCCACGAAGTTCCATCTGGGCAAGACCACGCGTGCCTCCATGCACAACGTATACATCCAGCAGACGGTGCAGTCCGGCAGCAGTCACAAGAAAGGAGGCATTATGAAGGGCACACGGGCTCTCTTGGCCCACCTCTCGTCACAGACGCGACCAGACAATGTTCAAGGTGAGCCCATACTGATTGAAACTTCTGAAAAGCAGCTGGAGGAGCTCGTCATCACGCTGGACATAGGCAGAGCCCATGCCCAACTGCGTCGCCTGAAGACTGAGAGCCAGTCGTGTGCGCAGGATTCGCCCATCATCGTCACCGCCATTCCGGAACACAAGAGCAAAGTGCTTTTCGAGTGCCTGAAAATGCCAGAGAGCACGGGTATCGAAAGCATTGGCTACATTATGTTCGAGTGTGGATTGGAGGGCGTGGGTGTGAAGATTGTGAAGCGTTCGCACTTTGAGAAGTCGGAGAACAGCAAGGAGGAGTTGGCCGAAATGGCAGGAGCGGGTGCTGAAGGCACCACCTCTACCGGAGGCTTCAATCTCAACGATCTAGTTGGTGGCCAGAACGAAGGAGCAGCTGCTTCCAGTGACGGAGGAGCCACTTCCAAGGCGGAAGCTGCCTGGAGATTGATAACCAAAAAGCCTCCCACTCCGAAGACCCCCAAGGCATCAGAAGGCAATGCTGCAGGTGCAGATAACTCCTCCTCGGCGGCTGGTGACAGGAAATCCACACCCAAACCTCTAGATGAGGATGTGGAAAAGGGAGCGGCCACAGGCAATAATCCAACAGGAACGCAAAAGAACCCTAGCGGCGGGGCAGGAAACAACTCAAAGGATGCCTACGACAAGGTGCTGTCCAATGTCAAGGAAACGGACAAGACCTCTTCCTGTGTAATCGAACTGAAGTCGGTGTGGTTCAACTTTGCTGCTCCGCCCTGTGTGCCCATCACACGGAAGATCGATCTAACGCGTCTGGACTGGAATCTTCTCAGCACCGCCTCACCGGCTATCACGGCCTGGATGAATCCTAGCAACCGGCTGGCCATCAAGATCGTCTCCCTCATGAAAGCCCTGCACACCAGGCAGACGGCAGTAGCCGCTTGCCTCATGGCGCAGGCCATGGACAACGAGAAGATCCAAAGGAACCCGAAGATAAAGAAGGTAACAAGGCTATAAGTATAGATGTAGATGAGTTCTTACATTATCGTTTTGCAGAGTCGTTATGCCAACAACTACACGCTGCTCTCCAAGACACTGCAGGAGGATCCCAGTTGCCAGCTGTGCTACATCATGCAAAAGCTGGTGCTGGACGAAGGTGTGGAGCGCATCGAACCGATTTTCAAGCAGCATGATGTACCGCATCTCAATACCCTGCGACAGGTGAGCAGTTGCCTCTTTTTAAACGTTGTATTTTCTGTAACGAATGTCTATTCCAGGGCATCATTGTGCTTAGTCGACAGTGGAAGAACACCCTCTACAATCCCATTCTGTTCGAACACCAGTACAAGAACAAGCTTGCACGGCCCATCAACGTGACCTTCTCGTTCCCCCAGAACGAGGAGGAGGCGGAGAACGATGAGTGTGAAGGTGATGTTGAAATGGGCGCCTATTCGGGCGTCGGCGAGAATCCGGAAGAGAGTGAGAATGCATTATTACTTGGGCAAACACAGCATCATCGAACTCACATTGGTATTTTTTTGATTAACGCTCTCCTGGTTATATCTCCTTCTAACCTAGTTATATGTATAGTTCTAGGTTCCTTTCTCTGTGTCTATCTTTTCCCTTTCCTTGTTTGATGCATGTGTTTGTTTGAAGGCTAACCTAACCAGAAGTTAAAAAGAATGCCTTTGCTGTGTGTATGTGAGCTAGGGATGTCAGACCTATCGACTTATTCATACTGCAACGATAATTAACGCGAAAAACGATTTATAAATCGAGGTTTTAGCGTTGCTATAAATTGATATCCCTTTAAATTCTGTACATATTATTCTATCATGTCGATAGTAACCATTTGTTACCATTTAATGAATTTATTTTTGATATGATACAATCAATATTTCCTATTGATAAACATCCCTAGTGTGTGCTGCTTTAAACTCTACCCCCTATTTTCCCCACTTTCCTTGATTTCTTTCTCTTCTGTCTCTAAACACACTCCCACTACAACACAAAAAGTTATCCACCGCTTTGAATGTTCACTTCATTGTGTTTGATGCTTTCCGTTTGCATTATACTATACTCTACAATTCAATACAATACTCTTCTATCCTTTCCGGCTATAAACTCTATCTACTTTTCTATGGAACAAAATTTATACCTAAGTAAGTTGTACACTAAGCAAAGAAGACTGGTTTTAAAACGGTTTTCATTTACTTCACTTTTTGTAAGTAATGTTAAATGTTCATTGCGTTTAGTGTACAACGTTTCAGCGAAGAGTGTTCTTTTCCCAAAATGTGTATACCCTTTATTAACCCCTCTATCCATCCTCCTGTTTTGCCTCTGTAGAAAACAATCAGTACGGCGGAGGACTCCCGTATGCTCATGAGACTGGAAACCATGGAACTGCTTCACAACGATCCACTTCGACTTCCCCAAATATTCATCTCCCGCGTCGTGGGTAAGTTTTTAGTGAACGCCTGCTTATCCATCCATCACCACGCCTCCCATTAATGCCATGCTTGTGTCCTTGTGTCCATGTGCTTTTCAGCTTGAGCAAAGTGCACAGCAAAGCCTCGAATTATTCACATGGCAATTCATCTCGTTCTAGCATTCAAATGCTGCCCATTATTTCTGGGCTGGTGGAGAAGCAAATGCCGGAATTTGGTAAGTCGTTAAGCAAACGCTGTTTAAAGTCGAAATCAAGTTATTTAATCTCTTTTTTGTGATTGCAGAGTACGGTGCGTTGCAGGAGGGCTCTCTGAGCTCCACCAACTCGGTTAATAAATTCTGGTTGGGAGCCGAGAACCACAAGGAGGACTTGTACTTCTGGATGGCCAAGCAACAGGATAGCAAAAAGAAGCACTTTGCCGAGAAAGAGCACGCACGCCCTGCTCCGCCCAAGATGCATGGACATTATACGGGGCAGTCTCGCAGTGGAATCATGCAGGATTCCATCAAGCTACTGGATGCTCATTTGATTTTCGAGCCCCTCCTCACTTGCCTGGGCGTGATGCCCCAGCAGATGATCAACAAGTTCTCCAACGCAGACATCTCATCGCTGGAGAACTTTGGCACCAATCTATCGCTGATCGGTACCTTCGATTCCATTCGCGTGGACATTGTTGTCAGCGAGGCGGGTGACAAAAAGAACTCGGCCCAGAAGCCAGCGAAACTGAGCAAGAAATCAAATGGTGGTGGCAGGGCCTCCATAATAATGGACACTCCCCTATTCCTTTGCGAGCGAGTGGGTGTGGAGCTGGAGGTCCTGAAGATGTCCGATGGCATGGTGGATCAGGCACGCCAGAATGTCATCTATATGTCCCGGCGCCAGCTGAAGAAGCATACCAGCACTGTGATCAACTTCAGCCTTAATGTAAGGTTCATCTCGCAGCAGGTTAACATGCCGCTGTTGAGGCTGCTCCACCAGATCTGCAACATGTATCAGAATGTGAAGGACGCCCAGAACGAGTTCCACGAGCAGCCTGAATTGAGCAAAAAGAGCCAGACTAAGGATGAGTGTAGTCTGGGTAAGGATAAACCTTGTATATTCCGAAAGTGACATCTTTCTTTACCAATCTCCTATTTCTTCCTGCAGCTTCCGAGCCTACAGATATCTTGCCCTTCAATTCGGTCGCCGAGCGCTTTGGTCATGGAGAGAACTACTCGGACGAGCGCTATGATAAATTCAACGAAACTATGCCCACGACAATAGCCAGGCCACGTCCAGGCGGCCTGGCGCCCATTATTCAACTCACGCCTTCACCCAACGCCAAGAACCGGCCGCAGAGCTTCGCCCAGAAGCTTCGATCAACTGGGAAATCCGTCAAGGGCAAGCTGGGCTACACGAACCTGAATGAATCCAGCTGCTCGCCCTTAAGGGACAGTCCCACGATGTCAATCCATGAGCAGAATATCCTCAAAATGTCTACAGAGTCGAAGGCCTCTCTGAATGGTGCCTGTGCCACCAGTATGAGTGGAGACTACCAGAATACCCTCACCAAAGCGGGAATGCCAACGATGGCTCCTCTGTTGGAGACGCCAAACTGCTGGAAAACCATCTACCACCTGCTTGAGCTGTATGGTACCATGCCGGAAACCAAGACCGTGGTCCAAAGGAGCTCCCTGAACGAGCACAAGAGTAAGCCTCCTCATGCTTTCGGCAATGATGAAGATGATCTCGCCAGTGCTCCCACACCGGTGCCCCAGCATCGTGAGATGCTGTTGGTGGATGCACCATCCCAGGAGCGAACGCGATTGATTGTCTTTGGAGTGGCAAAAATACACAAGACTCGTCTGCTGGCCACGCTCTCGGGCCTCAAGTTGGAGTCGGAGATCACTACGCTGAACAGCACGGCCACATGGCGAAAGAAGGCGCGTCCCGTTTCCCTGGAGTGCTCCCTTACTGGCCAGGTTGGCAGAGCCATGATTGTGCTGCTGGAGGGAGTAGCTCCCAGTCAACAGTAAGTTCTAGGATAGTTTTCCCATTCGCTGGTTCTATATATTTTTCATTTCATTGCAGGACCGTGGTAAAGGTGACTGTTGGCAAGAGCCAGACGCTGTACTCGAGCCTTTCGAAGCGAGGCAAGGACAAGAACAGCGGTCTGCTATCCATTGGAGCAATCAACATAGACATTCCACAGCATCCAGTGGCGCTGCATGGCATGATGACGCGCAGTTCTAAGCAGTTGTCTTCCACACTGCAGGAGTTACGAGTTAAGCGCAATTCTGGTCGCTCCACTCTCCGTTCGCATACGGCCGAGGAGCCGGATTCCCCGTTCCATGCCCGCAACTCGGGAGGAACTAGTAGTGGCGGCGGAATGGCCAGTGAAATGCGAGAGCGCACTGTCTCCGGTGGAGCAGGAGCCCAACAGCACCAGCCCCACCAGCAGGCGGCTCGAAGGGCAGCCGCTTCACACATGGCTCAGTCCAAAGCAGGAACCCAGGCACAGCATCAGAACGGATTGCTGCAACCCCTCGTCATGCAGTTCAATGTGCTCCTCCAGAGCTTATCCATCAATGCGGCTCTGCTGCCCTCGCTCCAGGCCCAGTACCGGATGAATCATGTCAGCTCGATGGGAGTGACCGGCCAAAGGGCCAAGTTTGTCATCGATCTTCCCACGCATACGCTCAGCTTTAACACGAAGATTCAGGTGAGTTTTTGCCAAATGTTTTCATTTTCATTATTTATTTATTGGTTGTAAATGCGTTTAATTGATTAACAATTGAAATGCCTTTTCTAAGATATATATAAAAGGCATCTTAAAGTCGCGTCTCAAGAAAACAGAATAGATATTTTATAGAAGAGGCTCGTCCCCATTTCTTATATAGCCTGAACTTCCTTCTTGAGCCAGGCCAAAGTAAAGTCGTCTCCTTCGCATGTCAGGATCGGGGCAAGGGTTTCCCAAACCTGTTGATGATAGCTATTGAGCAGCTTCACCTCCGCATCAGACAGGAGCTCCTTTTTAATCATTTTCGTTTGCTTCGGGCACATGGTGATAGTCTTAAAGGTCAGGGCTCCGCGGTTAGAGAAATTGTGGGGTGATTTTGTGGCGGGCACTATCTGGACAATGTCCTCGACGCGAATGCCAAACTCGCCGTCCTGGTAGAAGCCCGGTTCGTTCGAAATGAACATATTAGCCTGTAGACCGGGATCGTCGGGCATCAGACGAATGCCCACACCCATGGGGCCCTCGTGAACGTTTAGGAAATGACCGACGCCGTGGCCAGTGCCATGACCGTAGTCCAGTCCCACGTCCCACAGGGCCTTACGTGCCAGGGTGTCCAGAACCTGACCCTTGACTTTAGCTGGGAATATGGTAGATCCAAAGCTCAGTTGTCCCTTCAGGACGCGAGTGTATGCTTCCTTTTGGAACTCTGTGGGTTCTCCAAAGTGCAGAGTCCTCGTTACATCCGTTGTCCCGTCCAAGTACTGAGCACCTGAATCGCACAGATAGACTTCGTTCTTGGTTATCTTCCTGTTGGTGTCTTCCCTGGGATGATAGTGAATGATGGAGCCATTGGGTCCTGAGGCACTGATGGTGGTAAAGCTCAGGCCCATGTACTTCTCCTTGGAGCGGCGGAAAGATTCCAGTTTATCGGAACCGGAAATCTCGTCGACCTCCGCGCCAATCTCCAGCTGGTTTTCCAGCCAGGCAAAGTATTGGCACAAAGCCACTCCGTCGCGGACGTGACTGTTGATAAATCCCTCGATCTCCACATCGTTCTTGATGGCCTTCAGCACACAGATAGGGGTCACCTCCTGCAGTCTGCGCGATTTGGGAATCAGGGCGGTTAGGTAGTAGCTGCTAGTGGGAGCAATCCAGATCTTCGACTCCTTGCACGACACAATCTTGCTGATTTGCAATCCAATGGATTCGTAGGGCAGAACGGTTATCTTCACATTGTTCTCTTGCTGGTGACTGGCGAAGTCAAAGGGCAGCTTGGCTGAGTCCACGAAGAGCAGCAGCTCGTCGTTGGTCACAATCAAGTACGAGAAGAAGACGGGGTTGAAGTCTATGTCCGATCCGCGCAGGTTCAAGAACCAGGCGATCTCGTCCAGGGCACTGACCACCAGGGCATCTGCGTTCTTATCCTTCATTTGCTTGCGCACAGTCTCCCATTTCTTCTCCACCGAGATACCCGCATGCTCTAGCTTCAGGGTGATAATAGAGTTGGAGGTACGGGCCGGTTGGCCTTCCCCGCTCCACACCTCGTCGATGAGGTTGCTCTCAATGGGCACCAGCTGGCACTCGGCGGAGTTCAGCTCGGTTTCAATGGGTTTCCAGACGCGGAAGGACAGCAGACGGGGATCTACGCCCACTGAGCTACCCTTGGCCAGGTTCTTGGCCAGCCAGGCGCCAATCGAGGGCGTGGTGGTCAGTCCATCCTTCATGAGCACCCAGTTATCGTCCAGTTGCTTCTCCGCCTGCTGATAATACCGCCCGTCGGTCCACAGCAGGGCAGTCTCGGTGGTTATCACCGCCGTTCCCGCTGAACCATCGAATCCGCTGACAAAGGCGCGGCGCTCGTCGTGCTGGCACTGGTACTCCGACTGGTGGGCGTCGTCCGAGGGCACTATGTATGCCGCAATGCAGGCGGAGTCGCCCACCTTGGCCCGCTGCATCAGCTCCCTCAGCTTGCCCAGGATCTGCGTGGTGCTCTTCATGGCGTGGTCAATCCTAACTGGCCAAATGTAGCACAGAAACAGAAAATTTAATCGGGAATTTGGCTCAGCTTAAGGCGATAAGATAATCAAACGTAATCGCGTCTCGTATCGTTATAAATTATCGCAAAACGTATAAATGTCGTACTCACAGTGCCTGTCAAACTTTATTGTTTAAGGGAAACAGGGTGTGCGCGAAGTATTGTTTTATGAACGTGCTTTGTTTTTTTATTTTTTTTGCAATGACAAACAATTTTGCAGTTATCTCACTCGACAAAAAGCACAAAATTTGCCAGGGTCCATTTTGAATTTGGTATTTTTCACCAAGAAGGGTCACACTAGCAGCTCTGCTTTTCTACATTAGGCGCCAAAATATGAAATATTATTTAGCTTTAAATGGAATTCTTTATAAATTATGTTTGTTTCATTTAAAAGCTTTGTATAGAAGTTGGTTTATAATTTTAAACATTTTTCTTAATTCCTAAAGTAAAATATTTGTTGTAGTATTATACATACATGTATACATATATATATTTTCATTTAATATTTATTTGTTTTTTGATGCGGTTATTTAAGATTTCTTAACTTATAGCATTATTATCTTATTTAATTCATAATTTCATGCTTTCCACTGCATACTAATAGTAAATTAATCCATTTTTGAATAATTTGAAGCCTTTTAATTCATAATCTCATACTTTTCACTGCATTCCAATAGTAAATTAATCCATTTTTGCAATCACTGATCAAATTCATAACTAATGTCATACCTCTGGTTTTCGTAATTATGAACTAAATATTTTAAAAATTATATTTCATATTTTTGCCAATATTTTCGCTATGCAGAATGAAATGAATCTGCCCTCAGAGGCCTGTATTGGCCTGCCACCGGTTCACGTTCTGGCGGAATATATACCCGACCATCGTCAGGATCACACAGAAAACACCGAGGGAATCGTACTGCGTCAAGGTGGCTACGTAAATGCCAGTGCTGAGATTGGGGAGTTCGAGCGCTGCCTGACCACAGATCTCCTGAACCATCTGGTCTTTGTGCAAAAGGTGTTCATGCGCGAAATCAACGAGGTGTTGCAAAAGGTGTATGGAGGCGAGAAGCCAGTGCCCCTGTGGACTGAGGAGAGTGGCGATAACTCCGGAGCAGTGCAGGAGTCGTCACTCAAACGCATCCTCTTCTCCATCAACATCTCAATGAAGCGCATCCAGCTGACAGCCACCACACCCTGCTCGTCGGCAGTTCGTTTCGAAACCGGAACTCTGGAGCTGCAGCTATCGAACCGGGTGAAGAACCTGGGCGATATGAGCAACCGGAAGCTCTTCTTTAAAGCCCACATCGATTTCAACCTATCCCTGGGCCAGATCATTCGCAATGTGATCTTTGACGAGGCTGAGCCAGAGTTCCAGCAGTATGCCTTCTTTCACACAACGATTGGGCTGAGGAATGCCTTCCAGGATGAGCTGCTGAACGAGGACAAAGAATTGATTCTGCTCACGCTCAAGAGACCGTTGGTCTACGTCCAGCCCATAGCAGTGGATAAGGCCATCCTCGTCTGGCTGAACTACAAGAACGCCTACGAGTACTGGGCCGAGAAGAGGGCGAACCTCTGCCACGAACACGTCCAGCACAGCCAGTACAGTCAGTACTCGGCGGCCCAGCAGCAGCAGAACCAGAATCCGCAGGTGTTCGATCGCGTTGCCTTCGGCCAGATAGCCAGCTCCAACCTATCCACGCTCTTCCTCCAACTCACCGTCGAGGACATGGGCATCTGTCTGCCCCTCAAGCAGGTCAACACTACGTTTGGCTCCCGTTCCTATCAGGACTTTGATGCAAAGGGCGCGGTGGTGATCACGTTGGAGAACACCATTATATCCGCCTGCAACTCGGGAGCCTTGGTGTCGAAGGGCAAGTTCCAGGGACTGTGCCTGCGCTTCGCCGACGACTTCGAGACGAATTTGGACGACTGGAAGCCCAATAGTGCCGAGCCCATTATGAATGTCTGCGTGGTGTCCGAGGGAACCTTTGAGGTTTGCTCTCGCACCACGGCTGCCAAGAAGGGTGAGAATGCCAAGTGGCTACTGAATGTCAAATGGCAGATGGAAGGCGTGGATATCCACTTGGACGTAAACATTGGCAAGCAGCTGAGTTCGCTGGGTCACACTCTGACCATGCTCACCGGATTCGAGGAGGAGGAGACCCAGATGGAGTCCCCCGACAGCGATGAAGGGGATCAAAGCTGCAGGGATACATTTGTGAGAAGGAGAGGCGATTTCGACAACCTGCCAGCCTTCGTTTTCGATCCCACCATCGACTCCAAGAAGCGTTCGTTCATGATGGAGAAGGAAATGGCTGAGCAGCTGAAGATTATCAACGATCTGCGCACTCTGGGCGCTTCCCACAACACAGTAGCCCATGAAGAGCGGCGTCTGCAAGAGCTCCAGGCTATTTGTTACAAGTATTTCCGCCGGGACATGATCCAGAAGTGGAAGAGGCCTTCGCTGAGGCGATCTCTCAAGAACTATGGTCGCTCGCAGTCGTATATCGGAGCAGGATCTTCGGTAACTGGAGTGGGAGTGCCACAAACTCTGGACAATGGAAGCTATTCAGGCCGAAGACTGGACACAATTGCCTCCAATGACGAGATATCCAGCCTGCAAAGCACTCCAGCCTCCTGTCATTCGCGCAGTGCGTCCCTGAAACAGACTGGAGGAGGCGGTATAGTCGGCGGAGGCATTAATCCCCTGGGTCGAGTGACCTTCACCGAAGCCATGCGTCAGACATCGCTTCCCAATGCGGACACGGACACGGAGACGGCGGACAATGAGCTGGATTGGCGCGGAGACATTACGCCCAGCGAGATCGATGTGGACGGCACCTCCGTGGAGATGCGCCGAAAGCATGGCCATGGTCAGAAACAAGCAGAACCCAATATCGATTTCGAACTGGACATCAAGGTACTAGTGAACTCTGGGAAATGCGTACTCCACACCAAGGAAACGGGCGAGGACAGAGCCCAGGGTTATGCAGCAGGATCAGGAGCAGCAGGCAGCAGCGTACCAGCTTCGAGTGTTAAATCCCATAAACGTGAACGGAGTATTGGCAACGATTGGGGCAGTCCCACGCCCTCAAGGAGGCAGAGGGACAAGAGCAAGCTGCGCTATAATGCCAACGCACTGCTGGCGGATCTCACCATTTTCCACATCCCAGGATTGGATGTGAAACTTCACTACCAATCGAAAACGCTGGCGGATCAGGTATCTGGAGATCAAATACCGCCACATGGTCGCCGGATGGGCAGCAAGCGAGCGACATTGTGTGCCTGGATGACCCTGCAGAGTATACCGGAGGAAACCATCATATCACCGCACATTCTGGAGTTCCTGGAGCAGACCCTAGAGCCCATACCCGCTCGACAGTCCAGCAGCGTTCCCCCAACGCCCTCCCACAACGCTGCTGTTAATCTCGACATACTGCCTGCCAACTATGTGACTTACGCCTCGTTCCCCGTAGACGTTATCGTATATTTCCACATGCAACCCTCTACGTTCCGCTTCAGCTGCCTGCCCGTCTCCCGCGTGGAATGTATGCTGCAGTTGCCCAGCCTGGATATTGTATTCAGCTCCAAGCGGAGCAGCGAGGAGGAGAGCTCAACCACGCAGCCAGGAAGTCATGCTCACCCGGAGCAGCCGTTGCCCACCGGTGGACTGAGTGTCACTGGTTGCCTGGCCGACTTTAATGTGTTCATTTTCCATCCCTACGGCGGAAAGAAAACCTCCAAGGAGACTCAGTTCTCACCGCTAAGCGATAGTGAGAGAAAAGACTCCCTGAGCATCAACGTGGAGTTTGTCAAGTTTCACATTACGCGCTGCCGCAAGGTCTACATCGAACCGCTGCCCAGCTCTAAGAGATCTCTGGATCAGTCTCGAGCTGTGATCCGCTTCTCCACCATTGTGGATATTGGAAGTGCCAGCTTTAAGTACGACATGAGGAGATTAACAGAGATCTTGGCTTTTCCCAAGGCCTGGTATCGCAGGAGGATTGTGAGACGCCTCTTCCTGGGTGACCTTAGTGTCCACCAGCAGCAGCAGCAGCAACAGCAACAGCAGCAGCAGCATGGAAATGGTGCTGAAACCCCAACTGGATGCCCTCCTGCTACTCCTACTCCTAGCGAGGATGCAAGCAGGGCCAAGGATAAAATGCGCCTGGATTTCGATGGTCAGCCGCAGCAGCAGCACCAATTGGGGCACTTTGGTGCTGTAAGGAAGCTTAAGAACCTGGGCAAATCCTCCAGTGCCGAGTCCTCGGGAACTCCCCCATCTGAGAAGAACCAAATCACTGCCTGGGAGACACTCGTCCTCTTCGCAGTGAACTTTACCAAGCTCAATGTGCAAATGAACATTGGCAACGTGTGCGGCAATGTGGTGTGGCTCACCAAGGATTTCCAGTCCGATGGACGCCTCTCCATTGGCAGCACTGGATACAAGAACATGTATGCTGGCATCTACCTTGGAGGATCCGCTCTTGACGCCAAGGGAGGCATAGTCGGTGGCAGCTTTGAGGTGAACAAGATCAACCAGCGATTCCATATCAAAGAGGAGGCAGGCATGGAGCCGTACCACACCATGGGACTCAGTTTCATGGCACTGGAACTTAGGCTGGACTACATGGGAACTTCTGTGCTGATGACACGCATCAGCAGCTTCTCCGCTGCCATGAAGGATGAATGGCGGACTGCTTCCCAAGCAGCAGCTGCCCCTCCATCGCATGGCAAGGATCAGGCCAGAGCACTGATCTTTATCCATGGGGATCTCACCTGGGACCAATTGCAGATCATGATCAGCAAGTCCACAACCGCAGATCTGCTCAAGATGTACTTCAAGCTGGAGGAGTTCTTCACACAGCAGTTCAAGTCCTCCAAGAGGGTGTTCTCTAGCCTGGAGCCGCGACTCCAAGACCGATCTGCCAGCATCAAGAGGCGACAGCAACTCAAGAAGAAGCCGGCCAACGGAGAGCTGGTTGCTCCCGTACCCATTCAGGGTTTGAGCGGGGAACATACCGACGCACGTCACCATCGCCATTGGCGGAAACCGCTGGCTCAGGCCGTTGGTCTGGTAGTGCCCTCATTGGTTACTCGCCTGCCACGTCATGGCAACGTCCTGGGCGGCACCGTTGAACTTCGAGGACAGAACATCTCGTTGGCATGCTTTCACGGCATTAACTTCAAGTCAAAGTCGTGGGCTCTGTTCAGCCTAAGGTCCCCCTCGATCAACTTTGCGACTGAAGCGCGACAGAACGAGGAGGAAGTGTTGGTCACACAGACTCTAACATCTTCCCTGGGACAGACGGCGGAGGTGCAACAGCAGCAGAACCACTCGATGGCCATCGTAAGTCGGATCACGCGAAACATCATTTTCCCGCCGCAGTTCAAGACGCTGAATGAGTGGTTCCACTATGCCTTTGCCAACAGCGAGATCGATGGTGAGTTTTTGTGGGTTTTATCCAAGGATAACTAATCCCTAACCTTTCTTCATCTCTTCTCCTATCACTTAGCTGTGGATCGCTTCCCCATTCTGGAATGCGAACGAGAGATCGCCTCCAATTCCATTGAGCGGACGCGAGCCTCCGGCAGCAGCAGTGCCGCCAAAGCGCAGGAGCACAATCATAACCGAGAGGTCATCTTTGCCCTGCCTAGCCTGCAGCTGCATTTCAAGACTGAGCACAAACAAGGACCAACCATCCCAGTGCCTAGTGGTGAGTATACTCAAGTTTCACTATAGCTTCAAATGAAGATTTACTTTTGAATTTTGTAGAATCCAAGCCAGAAGTCTTGTGCAGCTTCATTACCGAATTCGATGATCACATATTTGTGACCGTCGATGCGGATGCCTTCTTTTTCCTACATGATCTCATCACCTCATACGTGACCGAAAAGGAGAAGGTGGTAAGTATTGATATATTTCGATGAGAAATACCCGATAAAGTGTTTCAAACTTCGATGGTTATTATTGGAGACAACCAAAATCTAACACATAATTTTTCAATTCCCAGATTGGAGCTCAATCAGCGAGAGCTGCATCACCAAATCTTTCGCAAAAGGCCAACCTAAAGCCGTATCTGACCGACGAGATCCTTAAGGAGAAGAAAGGTGCCTCCAATACGAACCTGACTGCCCAAGGCAAGCAGATGAGTGCCAGCAAGAGCAGCCTGGATCCGCTGCAGGGCAGTCACTTGAGCCTAGCGAACGCTGCTGCCAATGTGTCGGGAGCAGCGTCAACGACCACGACAGCTTCGATGACTGCAGGAACAGCAACGTCATCATCACCATCATCCACTACCGCCACCACAGTGACATCAACTGGAGCGACAGGACCGTCGACGAGCTCCTCAAACGATGCCACAGATGGCAAGCAGGAAAGCTCACCGCCCAGCTTTGATCTCGAATCGTGTGTGCGTGACTGGCGGCACTTTGAGTGCCAGACATGGCACCTTGAGCCCACAGTGCGCCTGCTCTCGTGGGCTGGCAAGTCTATCGAGCCATACGGCGTTGATTACATCCTCAACAAACTGGGCTTTCGCCATGCCCGAACCACCATACCCAAATGGCTGCAGCGTGGATTTATGGATCCACTGGACAAGGTGCAGGCCCTGATGATGCTGCAGTTGCTACTTATGGTCCGCGAGAACAAAGTAGAGCGGGATGGGGGGGCCAGTGGATCTGGCAAGCAGCAGAACCATCGACCATCAACGAATTAGCCATGACAGAGCCACATTTATGACAATTGACAATTGCCCAAAGTCGTTCGATTTAGTTTAAGCGTATCGATGTATAGATTTTTCATCCATGTAAAGTTTTATATATATTATTTATTATCCCCGATGACCAGGCATGCTTTGAAGTTTCGACTTGCGGTATTATTTGGCCATTAGGCAGCTTCTTCTTCTACTTCTTCTACAATGTAAATGGTTTGCTCTCGTTCCCCTCATTTTAAGCGTATTTGTATTCTCCTCATCCTCTTTTATAGGTGTAATGTCAAGTGCTTCGTGTAATTTGCTCAATTTTTGGCGCTTTGTAACTATCATTAAATTGTTTTGTTGTTGGTATTCCTAGGATATAATTACTATGCAAACAAGGAGCAAAGCAATTGTGTTTAAACTATAAGTAGCTCTAATTGAATATACATGATTAATATATACAACCAAAAACCGTGTAAGTCTATCAATAAGTAACTGAATAAACTTTCGAAAGAGCATATTAACAAAGACCTATTTTTCGGGTATAAAGTAAAATGTCAAGTAGTTTCTAATAACAGCAGGTTACTGTTTATACAGGACTCTGCTTGTTTTGATATTCGAATGAATATAAAATTGAATGCTCTTTATAAACTTTTCAATAATAACTATTCAAACGAACTTTGATCCTTTCAGTTTTATTTTAAGCAGGATTTCTCTTGGGGATTACAAAAAACGGAAAATGTTCCGGTTAATTTCTGCCTGACGTTGCCGGCTCCTTAGCCGCATCCTTTTGGCCTTGGTGGGTGGCTCTTCTAGGCCTCCTACTTGGCCTTTTTGTGTGTATTTTTTTTCTTTTCTGTGTTTTTGTTTTACCCGAGTAAACTTTGCATCCGCAACGCGTATCCGTTCAGGCTTTCGTTTTGTCCCGCTGGCTGAGCAGTGCTTTCTTGGCGCGCCTTTCAACGTTGTTTTCCTTCGCCTGTCACTGGCTTTACATTTTCGGGACGGGGGGCCTGTGTGTCTTTGTAAACATTTCATTTTCCATCAAGGTTGCGTTTTTAATTATCTTTCCTTTCTCGATGTGATGGGTTCTTTCTTATTCTTTTTTTTACCATATTAGGTTCAGTTTCTTTTTTTTTCTCAGTTTCTACATCATTTTGCTGCTTCTCCGAAGCAGTTGCCCCAAGTTGATGAGCTTTTCACGCATTGTAGGCGCGCGCGGAATAAAAAAACCCCCAGCTCAAATGGGGACGGGCGGAAAGCAGGGGGTTGTGTGGGTGGTTGGGGATTTCCCCCTTTTTGGCAAGGGTCGTCGTCGAGCCCTGAATGCGAGTGGTTTACTTTGGAGATTAGTTTATCTAAAGTTAATGAGGGTTAAAACTAATAGGCGAATGGCTTAATTTTTAATTATGAGACTTGCTCTTCTTTTGTGGTTTCTTTTTTCGCCCCCATTTTTTGTCGTCTTTGTGTTTGGGTTCATCTTGTTTTGATTTCCCTTGCATTTTCTTTGGGCCCTCTCGTCCTTGACGTTCTTGGTGGCAGTTAATTTAAACCGCCAGCAGCTTAATGGCCTTTTAAAATGGGATTTTAAACAGCAAGAGACTTTAAGTCCCAACAGCAAACTAAAGGGATCAGTGTGGAGAAAAAAAAACCGATTTGGTAAATAAACAATTTGACTTCTCCGATTCGCTTGACCCTCCATCCCTTTGGTCATCCGATACACTTTTCGTTATTAGTTTTCCCCCGAAATCGCTGGCGGAAAGTTGTCCATGGACTTGGGATTGGGATTGGGTAGCATTTCATTTGTCAGCTGCTCCCATAAATTGTCCACGCGTGTTGCCAAGGTGCCTTGGACACTTTTTCAATTAATTGGCGAAATTTCAAATTTCACTTGTACCTATTTTTTTTCCCCCAAGTCTTTTGTATTTCTTATTTCACAATTTATTGAGTGCGCACACAGGTTTGAATTACACTCGTCGCCACTTTTGTACTTCCAATCTGGCATGAAATATGAGATAAACTCTCTGTTAACAAATCGCATATGGTAGATACAAATATTTGAACATATATACGTTCCCAAGTATGTATTCGAAATGCCATTAACAACACAAGTCTATCAATGGAAAAGTAAGGTTTTTCCTTATGGTAGGAATATACTATATCGAGGGTATATGTGACCTTAATATCTTATTCAAAATAGCATAAGGTTTGTAGCGTGCAACCATAAAGTTCGTCGGGGTTGGTGAGGATCTGGGCTGCTGGGGCACGCTTTATTTTTCCGGCTCTAGCTCGTCGGCTTTGGGGGTGGAGGTCTTGCTCACCCAGATCTCGGACAACGACTACACATTATTATTACAAAGACTAGACTTGAGCGTGCTGCGACAAAATAAAAGCTAGAACAAAACCGGAAGAAATGATAAACAACATTCACACAACATAAAGAAGATAGAAGAAAAGCGGAAGTAGAGAGAAGAGAAGACAGAGAGAAAATCTATACAATGCAGAGACACAGATGTTGTTGTGCTCGCTTTGTGCCCACCCAACCTACGATCACCTGCCGCAAGAGCATGGCTCTGGTGATCCCTTTAGGACCCTACGACCGTGGAGTCATCCTACGAGTCGGTATATACCGGTTTTTAAGCTAACATGATTTTTAAAATTAAAACAGGTTTAATAAAATTAATTCAATACTTAAAGCTAACAAAGATAAATATAAGCTAAAATTAAAATGTATAAAATTAAGGAGGTGCATAGATGTACATATATGTGTTTAAAAATTGTGCACAAAATTCAAAAGAAATAATTTTTCTTAAAAGTTTAAATCAAATTTAATTTGTATTATTAAATGTTCGTTTACTTCATGTTTTCTCTTTTCTATTAACTATTAAAATAAATTTACTTCATGTCTTTAGTTCATTTCAATTTCAATTTCAATTGTTGCATTAGCTTATGGAGATTTTATTTTTGTATATTTTAAATTAAATCATTTTAAATTGTTTAAGTTTTCAAGTATTTTCCATTTTTTTTTTCAATTGCATGTTTTCATTCGAATGGCTTTTTTTTTTTTTTAGACTCACTCAATTTTCCATCGGCGAAGATCGATCTCCCTCGAAGCTTTTCTCTGGAAAAAAGGGGTTAAAGTCCGAATGGCCCTATTTTCTTATATTATTATTCTTTTTGCTATGCAACAATGGAACTTAATTTGAAGTAAAAAAAATAAAGGTGTAAAAATTAAATTAAAAAACTAAATGAATAATAAATTAAATTAAAATATTGGAAATTCAGCATAAATTTTCGTTATTCGGCTTCATTAAATTCACGGCTAGACGCAAGCAGATCGAGAGCATAATTCGAGCATAAGTTTTTAAATTCAAAGGCCAATATTAACAAATGTTTTGGGCCATTAATCACCTTGTCTTTGTTAGAGCAAATTGTTCGCACAAAACTCAGAAGAAAAAGTAACCAAAATGGGCTTTAAGGGTAAAACCCTATTTAAAATTATTCTTCACTTGCATTAGGAGGAGGTTAGAACACAGGGGTCAGGTCAAGGTTAACCCGCGTGGTTAGCAAAATTTTCACAAAAAAAAGAATTAATCGCTTTTCCCGACGCGAAGCTGGCCAAGAGATGAGTTGCGCATCCGCGCTGTTGGCCTGATTTTTCCTGGGGATCGGCTCCTCCTGCGCTGGTTGTAGCTTCTCTACTTCATCCCCTCAGGTTAGGGGTACCCCTTGCCTAGGGACTTGACTCTTTACTGCAGGGCCCAATCTGTAAATTTTTCCATTCAAACAGTAAGCACTGCCTTTAACAAACACTCTATTTTCATAATTACCCGCTGGCTTGAGCCCTGGTAACAAAATTAAGGGATTTTCCCTTGGCGAAAGGTCTTGTCGACCTTTGGCCCTGGCCGTGCGTCGACGCTGCTTTGCTGCCTCCAATTTTCTAGTTTTCCTAACCTGGGCAACAAAAAGGTTACTCACTGTGCCCCACAAATTTGGCACTTCTCTACTCACTTTTTCTGCGAAGCTTTCAGCGGCCACTTCAACACTTGGTTTACGCGATTCACTGCCACTGTCTGATTTATTGATAATTACGAGCACCCGACACGTCTATGCTCTTCTAGACCTTGATTTAAAAAGACCTCCCACGGAAACGGAAAGTCTGCTTGAAAAAATTTCCTAATTGGCAAATGCGCTCTTCTTCGTCTTCAGAGCAAATGTAAATTCTCTGTTAAATATGCCAAAACGCGTTTTAATTAAATGCAGCTCTACATTACGGCACGTGCAAGCTTGCTCAAAGCTTTGTTACGTAGTCGCTTGACCACCTTTACGTGATCGCCAAAACTGGCGAAGCTAGGCTTAGGCTTCACATAAAGCGTAGCATCCTTCTAGGCTGATTTCCGTGGCAGGGTCTTCAGTCGCCACTACAAAAGTCCCCCGGTAACATCTGGCTAGGGTATACATACCACTGGTACCCTAGACTGATGCCGACTGAAGCCAGATCATTGGCGAATATCTTTCGCGTGATATGTGCCTACGGGTTTTCCTTGCAAGTCTTCTAACTCGTAGTAGGCGCTTCCTAATTTCTTTCGCACTCTTGCTTTCACGAAAGAAGGTCCAAATTTAGCATTATATCCGGTCTGGAAACTGCTTTGTTTAAAATTTCTTCTAAACACTTCTTGTCCCACTGCATAAGACACAACTCGAGATCTAAGATTGTATTTCTTTTCGTTCTCGGAGTGTTTCTCCAGCATTCGCTTACATGCTTTCTCCCGCACAACGTCAAACGAGTCTTGACGACTTAACTTTAAGGATCGATCATCCAAAAGGTTGAGCTTCCTCAGCAAAGAGTATGTGGACCCGGAGTTGACCATATGCTGCCCAAAAACCATGTAATAGGGTGTAGTACCCAGGCTTGAATGCACGGACGATCTTAGTGCGCAACTGATCCTATTTAGGTGTTCGTCCCAGTCCTTTTGATCAGGCCTCAAATACGCTCTAATTGCAGCGATGACGGACCTGTTAACGCGCTCGGAGGCGTTAGCCTGAGGCGAATGTACTGCCGTCAGTGTATGCGTAACAGTATATTGCTGCATCAACTTTTGAAATGCATGCGACCGGAATTGAGACCCATTGTCTGAAACAATCGTTTCAGGAGTACCAAACGACATAAATAAGTCTCCTTCGAGATACTTTATAACGACACTGGAGTCGATCTTTCTTACGGGCTTTAGAAAAACGTACTTAGAAAAATGATCAAGCACGATGAAAATACCTATATTTCCACCTCTAGATCGGGGATAAGGTCCGAGAAAATCTATGAATAAGCGTTGGAAAAATCGTTGGCTTTCTGGTGCTTTCCCTAACGGTGGTCGCAAAACATAATTTGGTGCTTTCGTTGTTTTGCACACTTCACAAGCATTGATGTAGGCTTTGACATCTGCCACGAGTCCTGGCCAAAAATAATACCGCCTGACTCTCTCAATTGTCTTGTGTATTCCGCCATGAGCAGACAACGAGCTA